GATCACAGCAGCTTTTCATGTTATCTTTGACCAGCATGTTCAAGTGCTGTGTCCCATGGTCCTTGTTAGCACAGGGCTGCAGTTAATGAACACCTGTGTTCTACCACTTCTCTGGTACAGATCTCTTTACCAAATCATTTTGCAAGAATGAGAAGGCAGAAGCTGAATCTGGGGCAAGTACATGTATGCAATCAATGTTCCATACTTGTTGGAAGAGGAGTTGACACCAACATTTGTTAAACCAACCTTCATTTCACTTTCACACAAACCTCAGGGAGGCTCACTAACCCATGGTGCAATGTGACCAAGGATTTGTCACTCTCCCTCAATACATGTGTCTTTAAAGAGCATTACACAGCAGGCAACAGCAGTCAGCTTCACCTGTCATTTCCTAAGTATTTGTCATTTCCCCTTTCACACCAAGTCTCTTTTCTGTTTATATACCTAACCCTGGGCATGTGGATAGTTTCTGGAGACAGAATTTTGCCAGTGCTGTACTTTGTTGAGTCTCCAAACTGCCTGCACACAGTGGGGCAGGTTCCAGGGCTTGGGGAGCTCTGTGAATGTTGATTGTGTCATTAGCAAGGGTTCTGCTGATTAGGTTCTGATTAGTGCTGATGATTGTTAGCTCCTGCCTGTTACATAGGCTGGAGAACAGCTTGCTGTTGGTAACCAGTTACCCATTCCTTGTTGGCAGAACCTGAAGCAAAGCAGTGTCCCTCTGCCCAGGCATGTTGAACTCCTCCAAGAAATGTAGGTGACCTGAATTCAGAATACAGCTAATGAGAGCATCTTAATCCCAGAAGATTACAGAGTATTCTCATGAAAGAGGAAAATATTGCATACAAAATAATTGTGCAGGTTTTGGCAGATTGACAGGATTTCTGGTTTAGCAGTGACTGTTCTGTACTGCAGATTGAAGCCTAGCAGGAGATGCTCACCCAGAGCTAAATCTCTTAGGATACTTGGCATAGGTGCCCTTCCTCTGGTGGCTTTTGCTTACAGCAACTCCATCTGTTCCTCCTGTCCTAGTTCTCCAAAAGCCAATGCTTCTTTGCTCCAGAGAAGCTGGATTTGGAGATTATAGTGCACACACATTCCATGTAAAGGAATTGCTTGAGGCACTGAGGAAGAAAAGGTTGTGATGGAAGTGGTATATTTAACACTTTTCTCATTTTTTTCTGTTCTGAGCTTGGGAATTCAGCAGAGGAGTTAGTAGCTTCTCTCTAGAGTTCATGACAAAAACAGACTTATTTTAATGCAGGTGAATGTGGATATTTGGATTGTTTTAAGGGATCAGTTTAGACAAAATACTGATCTGAGCTTTATTTTTTAACAATAGCTATAATTTGGCCAAGAAGTGATATCATGTGGGCAAGCTTTGTGGGGGTCATGTCTGTCCCACCTGATAACCAATGGCTTTTAAACAGCCAGAACACTTAGGCAAGAATCAATCCTCATCACATTTTACTGTTGCATAGATTCACCAAGACATTGGACTGACCAACCATGTGCCGTTGTTGAAGAAGTCTCTGGAACAATTTGTGTACAGAGTGAAGGCAATGCTGGCGTTCAATCACTGCCAGGAGGCCTTCTGGGTCGGCATCCTCAAAAATCGGGATCTTCAGGTGAGAACCACTGCCCTGCCCGGGGCAATTAAAATCTGGGAGAGGACAATGCTCATCTTGTCCAACTCTAGACACATCTCTAACTCTCCCTTGTGTGTGGATATAGCTAAAAGGCCAAATTCAGTGTGACCACAGTACAGTCATGTCAAGTGCAGGAGAAAGAAGCATTTTATTTCAAGATTAAGAGTCTGCATCTCTAGGCTCTTGCACTGAGGGGTCAGATTTGATCATAATGAACAGGTACAGGGATTTTTTGGCTGTTCCCTGGCGAGAACTTCATGCACAAGAGGGAAGAGATAAAGGTCACTTGAACACCTTCACACACTTTCATGTGTGGCTTTAAAAGAAGCCAGTTTTGGCTCTTCATCTCACTGTGGAAGCAGGACATTTAAACAAACCTGATGTTTTAAATTCTAAAACTCTTTATTTAAGGCAACAAAATGCCCTCTTCTCCCATCCCACCCAGGCACACTTTGGCCGCTTCACGTACACTCAGTACAGATCTTGTGTTCAACTTAGGGAGAAGAAATTTTGACTCAGGCCTCTGAGGAGAGGGGCTCGGATGAGGACGAGGGGGACGAGGAGGATTCGGCGGAGGGCCCCGCTGAGGAGGTACTTCAGGGGCCGCCGGGCTGCGCCTCTCCGAGGCGAGGGAGGGCGGGGGTGCAGCTCCGGTACTGACGGGGGCCCGTCCCGCAGGAGCTGAGCGGCAGCGACACGGGCGGCAGCGACACGGACGGCAGCGAGGAGCGCGGCGGGGCCGGGCCGGGCCCTGAGGCAGCGCGGCCCTGAGGCACCGGGCGGGCGGGCGGGGCGCGGCTCCCGCGCAGGCGCGGCGGCGGCGGCGGCCATGTCGGTGCAGGAGGACCCGGTGCAGCGGGAGATCCACCAGGACTGGGCCAACCGCGAGTACATCGAGGTGATCACCAGCTCCATCAAGAAAATCGCAGACTTCCTCAACTCCTTCGGTGAGGGCGCGGGGCGGGGGCTGCGGGCGGGCCGGGCTGGGGCGGGCGGTGCGGCGGCCCGCGGTGTCTCACTGCCGCCTCCCCGCAGACATGTCGTGCCGGTCCCGGCTGGCCACCCTGAACGAGAAGCTGACGGCGCTGGAGCGGAGAATCGAGTACATCGAAGCCCGGGTGAGCAGCGGGGGAGGCGGGCCGGGTGCGGGCCGGGCCCGAGGCCGGCCCTGGTTGAGGCTTTTCCTTTTCCCGTAGGTCACCAAGGGGGAGACGCTGACATAGGCCCGGGGCGGCCCCAGCACCGCCGCCCCTCACCCCGCTCGGGGCCCACCGCCACCGCCGCCGCCTCTGCTCGTGTTGCCAATAAACCGCTGTGCTCCTGCCCTGCCTGCTCTCTGCGTGCCTGCCTGGGGCCGGGCCGCGGGATGCCCGGCTCCCTGCCACCGTCCTGGATGTCCAGAGCCTGCCCTTCCATCCGCCTGACCCACGGGGTTTGGGCACACGTTCCTCCCCACGCGTGGGGGCTGTACCACAGGGGCTGCGGGCCAGGCTGTTGTCAGCTCCTGGAGGCACCTGACTGGCCTTTGGGGCGCTTTGTGCTCCTGCTGGGATCATAGAAAATCTGGTGATCCCTAAGGTCTGGAGGGTGTCTCAGCCTTCACATGTGCACATGTCAGGGCAGTGTGGGGACAGCAGGCTCACCTGGCGTGGTGCACATGCCACAGGAGAGAGCCTTTTGCCAGCACCCAGGAAGAGGTGTTTCTCCTCTCTGCGAGGCAAGTGGCAAGGAGAAGGAAGTCTCTCAGCCCTTCCCCACCACTCCTCCATTTATCTCAGTTTTTCAGTGGGCATCCAGATCTGCACATTCACTCCTCATATTTAGTGTTTGTTGGGGAGTCCATGGAATTGATATCAGGAAAGGTTTTATTACTTCCCAGCAGGCTTTAAAAGTCTTGGTGTATTCTCCAACTGTAATCTTAGCTTTTTCATGATGGCACTGTCATGCCTGCAGTGTTTACTGAGCACCTGAGTTACTTAATGTTTGTTATATTTTTGATGCTGTCTGACATCAGCCGGTTCTTTGTTGATGTAGGTCCTCCTCTGAGCTCACAGTTTTGTTCTCCATAGGAATCTCTGTTTTCCATTGTTTGAATAAGTGCTCCTCCAGCTTTTTCCTCAGCTTTCATGGTTACTGTCAGTTTGGGCTGCACATCAGGGAGGCTTGGCTGCCTTTGGAGCACAGTACCTGTGCAAATGAGTGCTTTGTAGCAGCCCTGCAGTGAAGTGGAACAGCCATGGCTCACTGCTGTTGGGTGTAGGGGCCATATCAAATTATACTGTTGTCATAAGAAGATTGATAGATGGAAGGAAAGCAGCTCTCCCTTGGCTCCAAGTGGCTGCTCTGTAGCCCAAGTACATCAAAAGTACTGCCATGGCCCATGCATTGCTTACTGTGCATGTGCTGGAGTCCTGAGATCTCCATCATTGGAGATAACTCAGTATTTAAACTCAGTATTTATCTGGAGAAGGCCCTGAACTAATTGGATGTTGAAGTTGGCCCTGCTTTGAATGGGATGGGGTTGAGGCAGAGACCACCAGAGGTTCTTGCCTAAATTATGCTAAGGTTCTTCAATCCAAAGACTGAATGGGAAACAGGGTACCACAGACAATCCCTGGCACTGTGTCTGTACTGGGCTGACCTCTTAACTCGAGATGCATTGCTTGTTTCTGTTCCCAGCTAGTAGCATGGTGTGTCTCAATCCCTTCCTGGTCTCCTGACTGCCTGTTGGAATGGCTCTTTTTCCTCTCATACCAGGATTTCTCAAAGGAGTAGGTTTTGCCACACAGTTGGGGCAGTCTGCTGGAAGGTGCCACTCCCCCCAGGATTTGTGCTCTCACAGAGCTTCAGCACTGTGGGATCAGCCTGTCTGGTTCATCTCCCAGCAGCAGGGATGCTGGGCAGCTCACTGCACTACAGAGTTCTGCCCTTTTCCTTTCAAGGAGTCTTACTAGTTCCCTAAGGAGCCAGGTTTTCTGGTTGGGTGCTGCTTATTCCAGGCTGTCTCTGGGAGGTGAAGCCTCCTGGTCCTCAGGCTGGTACTGCTTCCTCCAGCAGCTGCTGTGGCGTGCAGCCTTGTAATAGATGGAGCTTTGATACATTTCATTATTTTAAATACTGGGGAATTCTGTTTGCCTTTTTTCTTTGTACTGTATTTTGGTTTTTGGTTTGTTTTTTTGGTTTGTTTTTTTTAGAATATGATGCCCCAGGAACCCACATTAAACTTTTCTGGAGTGGATTTGTGTATTCTAATTTAGATGATTTATGTGGTATGTTAGTGGTGCTGTTCTCCCCACCACACATTTAATGTAGCAGAGATGGCTGTGTCCTCTATGTCCTGATACCATGCTGTCCTCATCTCCTGAGAGGGCTGGGTGCTCTGCTTATGGTCAGCAGAGACCTGTTGGTGGTCTGAGACCTTTTCCCAGAGTCTGAACTGCAGAGAACCTGGTTTGCAGCCCCCTATGAAGGTGCCAGAATTGACCTAGAGAGCCTGAGCCAGTCTAGCTTGAGAAAGGTTTGTCTGTCTTGGATGACAGACAGTGGGCTTGTAGTGCTCACTGCCTGCTGGCCAGGCAGCCAGGCCTCATGGAGTCATTGGAGCAGTCCTGCAGTGCTCATTAGAGGCTCCAAGGTTTGGGAATGAGCTGTAGTGTTTTGATCTGGGTGGAAGACATGGTGTATTGGCATCACCCTTTGTGTGGTGTCAGCAGAAGTAGAACTTGATTCAGATCTAGAACTTGATTCAAGATTTGCATAGGCCAAAAAAGTTTTAGTCTGATCCAGAGTACATATTTTAAGATGAATGGATTGGACCAGATTTCTCAAATAGTTCTAGCTTTTAGTAAATACCCTTTGGGCTCTCAGTGCCTACTGTGAGCAGACCCTTGATTTTAGGAAACAGTTTTAAAGTGAAATGTACCTTCATCCCCTTTATGTTGCAGGTGATTGAACCTGATAATTCAGTGAGCTGAGGCCATTTCAAGAGAGGAATGTTTTAGGACACAGCTGAGTTGTTGAGGGACAGCTGCACTTTGATCCTAAGAGCTTTGCAAGGCTGAATTTTAAAAATCCCAGAAGATGGTGTCTGCTTGCATCCTGGTGCCAAGGCACCGACAGCAGCTGATGTCACTGGAGTAGTTGTCTCACGAGGAGAAGATTGGCCCTGCCAGCCTGGGATTGCTGCTGCTCCCCAGGTCAGTGAGATGGGAAGGTCACAGGAGTGTGGGAGGTTTTGTGTCCAATTTCCAAAAGCTGCCAGCAGTGCTGCTCTGAGCTCTGCACGTCCTGGGAGCTGGGAACTTGGCCTTGGAGTACATAAAAGCATTAGGGTGGCTGTGCCCTGAGCTCACCTTTCCACTTACCTTCCCCATCCCTCTCTCTCTGTTCATTCTGACACAGCCTGTGTGTTTTCACTTTATATCACAGAAGTGTAAAGCCAGTCATTGACAAAACCCTCTTTTTGGAGGAAGAGAGGATTATTGTTGGGTATGTCCTGGAGCAAAAGTTTGAGAATAATATCCTGGGGGAATAATGGGCAGATAAAACTCTGAGTCCTGCTGACTTCAGTCAGGCCTGTGGGACTCTGAGGTTCACCTTTTCTGGGGATGTCCCAGCCAGTTTGGTCAGTGCTGCACAGAGCTGCTGGCCCAGCCCCAGCCTGGCTCTGTGACTCTCCCTGTGTTGCCCCTGTGCCCACAGGTGACCCCACCAGGTAACCATCCCGTGCCTCCTTACCTTTGTAGGCTGTTCTGCTTCCTGGCCTTGCCATCTCCTGCCAGATACATTGGTGACAAAGCAGTGGGGACAGGTCACAGCCTGCCTTGCTGACAGAGTTACAAAATGGATCCAGGACCAAACCCATCCCACAAAACATCAGGATTAAATATTGAAATCCTTGGCATTGCCTGTGTGCTTAAAAGTGCTGAGGAAAAGGGCTTTATCAAGAGGGAGGATCAGCTGAAGCTGGGAATTGTCCCTCAGGCTCCTGGTGCTTCCCAGGGAGCATCTGTGCTCCCCTGCCTTTAGCTCTGCTTCCATGAGGCATTTCCAGCCCTATTGCTAGACCAGAAGACTGGGGATGGAAAGGGAGCCCAGTGAACTGGGAGAACAAGAAGAGGAGAGGAGCAGATACTGGAGCAGATTTTTTTGGAGGTTGCTCATGGAAGCAGTTCTCCATTTAGGGCAGTGGGTGGGGAGAGTATCCTGGGACTCTGTTGATCCCTGTGCTTGCTGCAGCACTGCTCAGCCAGGGCAGGGGCTGGGAAGGGCTCACTGTTCCCTACTTCTGTCAGCCAGCAGCCTGTCCTTTGTGGATTTGTGCTTTGTGTTGGGGCTGCACTGTCCATCCTACTGATGGGCCTGGGCTAAAGCAGCCAGACTAACTGAAGAGTGCCCTTGTAGCTAAATTGGAAGGACCAGCAGCCAGTGCTCCAGAGGCCAGACACCCCCTCCCTCTCATTCCTCAGAGCCAGTAATTAATGTGCTGATCATAATAAAAGGGAGCTCCCATAAGGAGGGAATTTCCATCATTACCTGCAGCCACTAACGGGAGGATCCTGTGCTTGTCAGTACTGGAAGCACTCACTCTTCTGTCTCGGGAGCTGTTGATAGCAGCACCTGAGAAACTCAGTAATCCTCCAGGAAGTGAGTGATACATCCTGGCCTTTGATTTAGCCTGCTCAAACAGGCCTAGTTCTTAAATTTAACGGGCTTTAGCAAAAATTATACTGTGTTAATTTGAAATAGTAATACAATGAATTATTTATTATGGCAAGTAATTCCACAGAAGGATACAGAATGAGAAAAAAATTTCCAAAAATCTTAGTAAGGTACAACATGATCTACTCATATGATTCCACAATTTCATAGCAAAATCTCAGGCTTTGTCCCAGCCAAAAGCAAACATCTTTGACCTGATTTCAGCATAACAGGATGTTACTGGTTCAGTGATGGTCTGGAAGGTTAGGGAGTGGGTTGTGTACACTGTTTGTTGCTTTTTTCTTCTCTCTCAAGTCTCATAGTTTAAAAGCAGAGAGGTAGCTGTAAACTACCTGTAGCCTGCAAAGTACAGCTGGCAGTGAGGTATAATCCCCCTGCACTTACCTGTGCTTCACAGGATCACAACAATTGTTGAAGCAGACTTTATTTAAAGCAAAATAAGTGGCAAGTAAGTAAGTAGCACAGGAGGGAGTAATTTAACCAACCCATTGGATGAAAGTCAGGGTAGGGCAAGAGGAGTCATGGGACTGTTTAAATCTGTCAGAAATGTGATGACATAATGAGCAATAACTACTCTATGTTCCATCACTGGGCCCCTCCTACACTCACTTAGCAGTATTTCTACATTTCTCATGCAACCTGCCTGTGTGACAAATCCACACACACGTTGCACCCAATTAGTGTCAAGCATAAGAGCTGCTCTGCCTGTGTCTCACCTCTCTAAACCCCTCCTGGAAGCAATTTTCCCAGCATACAAAGAATAAATCACCATTCTCCTTAATCTCTCAGAGGACAGATCCCAAATAAGGGCCAGGTAAACACATGTAATACATGATAAAGCATTATAATCTTCCCAGCAGTAGATACAGGATATTAGCTGCTTTAAGTGTTCAATGCTACATGTAATTAAAAATGGCAGGGGAGGTGAGACAAGGCACTTGAGTAGGCACTTGTAGAAAAGTAGTGGAATATCTGGCTTAAAAACCACAAACCTCAATCATTTCTCCCTCTAAAAAAATAGCAAAAAACCACAGCAAACAGCGAAACAAACTGGAAAAGAAAAACAAATGCACACCTACTCTAGGAAGTATAACTTACTTTACCTGTGTCCCAGTCACTCCAGAAGCATCAGGAGATAAGGAAGTGAGGAGAGCAGAGGGAGGGAGTACAATCCTTCCTGGGGTACCAACTGCACCAGGGTCAAACCATTAGCTGGATTTGACAAATGACTTACATGACCACACCTTGTGTAACCAGCAGCCACTGTGCTATTGGAGTGTCCCAAGGAGTCTCCTTTGACACTGGCTGTCACTCCTCACATACATTTTCAGGTGAACAAACATCTGCCACCTTGTGCTGTGGTGCACTGCAGGAATTTGCCCCCTCCTTTCCTACTTTTGTTTCATTGTGGTGAAGGTTGGCTGGCTCAGAAATCATCACCTGCCAGTGAGGGAGCAGCTGTCCTGAACAACAAACAAACAGCCCTGGGGTGGCTGCAGATACTGTTGTGCTGTAAGATGAGTGGCTGAGAAGGGCTGGAGGGGAGCACCGATGACCTTACAGTGGGTATAGGAGGAGCAGAGGCTCTGTGTTGTCAGCACCCTCTGTGGCTGCTGGGGACAGGAGGTGTGGAGGACATGTTTCCCTTTGCTGCCACTGGCCCAGCTGCACAGGCAGTCTACCTGTGCCATCCTGGGATGTCCTGAGCAGGAGGGGAGCATGCCTGGCCTTCCACACCCTCATCATGGTGTCCTTGCTTAGCTTTAGCAGAGCCCAGGGCCTCTTCCCACAGAGTGGATTCTACATCCCCAGTGCCTTCCTGATTCCCAGGGAGGCCAAACAAGTGGGGCTGGGTCTCCAGCCAGAGCAGGGGCTGTGCTGGAGCAGCCATGGGCAGGAGTGAGGGGTCCTGGTTGTTGAGGGCCATTACTGCCTGCGGCGGGCTGGGACCTGCACAGTTCCTCTCTCTGTGCCAGTGGGACTGGCCCTTGGCCACATCCCCAGGGCTCAGGGACATGGGAACCCACGCCTGCAGTGTGACCTCAGCAGCCACAGAGCAACGGAGCCGCCGCTGCTCACCCGTGAGTCAGGGGAGGCCACGTGAGGCCCCAGCCCTGACGCCTTCCCTGGGCTGGGATCCCTGAGCCAGGATCCTGAACCACCACACAGCCGTGCAGGTGAGTGCTGGCGAGGGGTTCAGGAGCTTCTTGGGGCCAGGCCTGAGGGTGCTGGGGGGCTGCCTGCTGGCTCTTGGTACTGCTGGGCTATTGGTTGCTGTTTGAGGCACCGAGCCACTGTACGGGAAAAGGGTGCTGTGGGGATTACAGGACTTCCCTATAACCTCTCTTACTGACTCAACTGGAGTCTTTTTGACTCAACTTCCCCATCTTTTAAATAGTTCTTTTTCTCTAAAATCCTCGCAGCAACCCCAACACTTTATGCAAAGGGAAGAATTTGTTTGCCTTAATTTTACTCAGGCTACGAGCATTAACATTTCTGGCTTCTGATGCGTTAATATTCTTCCTTCAGAGCTTTACAGCAACCACTGAGAGGCACAGGGCGTGAAAGGAGAAACACAAACTGAGTAATTTCATATGTTGCATGTCAGTGCTTAAGGCAGAGCTGGAAAATGGGCAGCAACCTCCCCAGGGCTTACAGGTGTGGGGCTGGCAGCAGTGCAGCCACCGTGTCTGGGCCTGCTGTGAAAGCCAGGGGAGGAAGGAAGTGCTGGAGCTGCAGCAAGGAGTGCATGGGCTGTGCCTGCTCCTTCCTCACCCCCATGGGGCTGTCAGAGCTGGGGAGCTGCCCTCGCTGCGGTGACATGCACTTGCTGGGTCTCTACATGCCTGTGTTCAAGGAGAGTGAAAAGTCCAAGTTTTGCTACTTCTCTGTCACATTTCAGCTGCATTTGACAACAGGAAGGCAAGCAGAAGGGTAGCAGAATTATTACCACAGCCTGAGGAGACTGGAGCAGGAAGGGTTTCAAACGGAACTGGTGTGGATCAGTTTTTGTTGTCTCACAGGAAGAAACTCAGCTTTCACCACAGCTACGGCCCTCCAGGACGTCTTCCAGTGGAAGCAGCTGCTGGGACCAACCTAAGACTGCTAAGACTTGCAGGTGTGCTTTAAGAAGTTGGTTTGGTTTGATTTGAGAGAAGGGAATTGAGGGACTTTATCTTTAAAATAAAATTTAGCAGGTTTAGGTGTCAGCATATAACTTAAAATGAAAGGTGAAAGTAGTTTCAAAGAGAAAAGATCTGGGATTGTCCGATTTTTGTCTTGAAGTTAAAACAATCTTATTTTATTTTATTTGCATTTTTTTTTTTTGTTTTCCCATTGAGCAATATCTCTCAGATATATTTAATCAGCTAAGCAAAACTTCATGCATGGAAGTTGTTAACCTCACTTTCTAAATCTGACTCTGCACACAAATTTTGTTCTAACACATTAAAAAGACCTCACTACAATTAAATTCTGATTTACTGTGAGGAAAACAAGGTGAGGTCTGTTGTTCATGTCATTGCCCAGTGAGCTCATGGCCAGGCTGAAATGCCTGTATATCATCATCCTTCTCTCATTATGAGGTATAATCAACTAAGTCACTTTTAAAACATACAATAATTAGGCACCTATACTTATCCTTTGTTTAGATCTGATTTTCTTTCCAGAAGAGCCACAGGGGAATTAATGTGCATAGTCTAAGAGAAATTAGCTACCCAACTTCCTTGGCTAATGTAAATCTTGGTGACTGACTGGGCTGAGCTGTGCTGGAGGCACAGAAAGGGAGATGGGAGCAGATGCTGAGTGCTCTTGGATCCTCTTGTGGCATCCAGGTCTTACCACAGCAGGATACAAAAGTTCATTAGGCAACTCTGTTTCTGTTGCTGGAACAGCTGAGCAGTCTGCTGGCTCATTTGGGCCAGCAAATGAGCAGTTTTGAAGTAAACCAGTCTGATAGCAGATGAAGATGACGTTGGCAGTGTCTGCCCTGCCTTCAGTGTTGAATCTGCTCTTCCTGTGTGCATGGCAGGACAGGTCAGGTAGTGCCCTTCTGCTCACTTTGTCTTTGGGATGATGCAAAGCTGGGATAAGGCAGCTGCTGTGACAGGTTCCTGGTAGGGGAAGAGCAACCTGCCTTAAAATGCCACTGAAAGTGGCCTTCACTAAGTATTTGGAAGCCCAAAGACAAACCTCCTGAGTTTCATTAGACAGTAAAATGTCAGGATACTTTTAAATTATTTTCTGAAATTGAATTAATCAGCTGGGAAAAATGTTTATATTTAAAGTACTTTTGTTCCTTTAGCTCTTGTATTTTTACCACACAGTCCAGAGAGAGCCCTAAAGGATTTAGGTTAAACAAGCAACTGTTGCAAGGTCTAAGTTGAGCAAATAGGAAGGCAAGAAAGAGACTGAAAAAGGCAGAAAACCATAGCTGAGATATCTAAGTGCCTATGAACTGACATTCTTGATTGAGTGGCCAAGAACGAGTCTGTCCAGGGTGTGGTGTGCTGGGTTCCTACATTTCCACATCAGCTGATGCTTACCCACAGAGGGGACAGATGCATTTCCTGCATTCCCTATCGGTGCTCCCAGCTCCCACAGGGCTGCTGCCACAGCTACAGCAGCAAAGGCTGGATGTAAGTCAGGGAAAGGGGAAGATCTGTAGGTCTTTTGCATAGATGCATCACTGGGCATAATTTCAAAATGTTGTTAAAATATTGTTCTCTCATAATACACTTTGGAGGCAGGTAAGCTGCGTTTTCTGAGCTGAGCACTGAAAGTGGTTATGTAATTTTCCCAGAAGTCTTTTGAAGTCTGTTTGTGTCTAATTTCCTCTGTCTGAGAAGTGACACCCTAAAAAGTTGTTCTGTTTGAGTGTTTGCTTATGTGTTACAGTATCCTTCTGAACATATTAACTGACCTGTTTTGGGTTTTGTATTAGAATGTTTTCTGGACTGATATGATTGTCTTTAGAGAACTGAAAGTGCCAGTAGAAAAAGAAACAGGTTTTCCTCTGGAAGTTTGAAGGGTATACTTAGTTTTCAAACTGCTTGATTGGAAGTGTTTTGTTGAATGGATCCAAAAGTCATATTGTAAGAAAATGTGTGGACATATAAACTGTTTTACTGTTGCACCCTGCATAGTGGAAACTGTGCTTTAGGCTCCCCAAACCTCTTCTTTTGCATCTCTCAGTACAGCTGTTGGTTGGTTGCAATGTTGCACGAGGGGAGATGCATCAGTGCAGAATGCCTGGACCATGCTAGGCAGAGGCAACAGTTCAGAACCACAGCCACCAGAAAATGTGCACCATCAGAATATTCCAGCCTCAGCCCAAAACTTCTGTGGCAAGTTTATCAAAACAAAAGGAAATGCTGAATTTTGGAGATGTCAGAACATTTGTTTCTGTGGCAAATACCAGTAATTAGTCTGGGATCAACACTTAAAAGTTTGTGATTCATAAAGCTAAAGTTAATGGAAATTTCCTTTGCATGACAGCTTGGCAAGACAGATGTTGAAGTATCAAAGTCTTCTGTGAGGCAAGAATTCAAAAGTCTTGTGGGACTTTCCTAGGAACTATTTCTGTTCTTTTTCCTGGCTGATACATTTTAAGTATTAGGATCTAAAAGGTACAGGATAATTGTTCTGTTTCATGAATTGAACCCAGCCTATTAGGTTACTCACCTCTGTGGTAAATGTTTAATTAGACACCTTGGTAGCTTTACAAAACAGCAATGACAATGATCAAGTCTGACTTCTTTTTGTTTTACTCATGATGATCAGACTTTTATTCTTTCCTAATAACCAAAGGCCAGTCGGGCTCACTTGGAGGAGTCAAGAATTGGGTCCCAGGAGGGTAAATGAATCATGATGTGAAACAGAGAAGTGATTTCAAAACTGAAAGGCCCAGAGAGAGACACTGTGTTTGCAGAAAATCACAGACAGAAAACCAGGAAGGTCAGTGACCTGATCCTAATTGTGCTTTTTCTCCCCTTTCAAACAGGCACAGCGATGGAGAATTTGGATGTCCCAATCCCAGATCTTACTGAAGAACAGCAAGGTGAGGGATGCACACAAAGATCAGAGCTTTGGCTCATGCACAGGGCACAGCAGTGTTTGCCAGGGTGGACATGAGTCCATGAAATCTGTTTCCTCTGAAAACACACCCTATCCATCTCCTTGCTTGTAAAAGAGAGACCAGCACTCAATTCCCAGCTCTTCCACAGGTTCCTGTTAGGCTTTGTGCACATGCAAGTGGGAATTTAGGTACATGAAGCAGACTTTACTGTGCATTAAATGCCTGATGAGCAATCTCAGTGCCTTGGTATCCAGTCCTTGGGGTCTTTGTGCCTGTCTGTAGAACAGCATGGTCAGAATAAACACATGTTAAACAGCTAGGAATATTTTGGGAACACTTGCCGTGCTTCTCTAACTGAGACAACAGCATCACAGAGACATCAGTCATTTGTATGGACTATTGACATTTGTCTGCTGTTTTGTGGCAGACTGAGGTGCTTTATACAATACAGCAGCACTCTCTTTCCTGTGTGCTGTTATTGGGCAGTGTGTTACAGCCTGGTGTCTGTCTCCACACCTGCACTGAGCACCACAGGAACACTGCCATGAACCCCCCTCTACTCCTGCACAGTGACAGGTTTTTCCTTACAGACATTTTTCAGAGAGTTTTTGCTGCTGATGCCAAGTACTTGGAGACACATGAGAAAATGAACCAGTCCTTCTGGGAATCACTTGTGAAATGCTTGGCCTCTACTGACCCACCTATCCTGAATACTGAGGAAAAGAACAATGTAAGTTACCAAAGGAACACTTATCCTTGTTATTTTACTTTTCTACTATACTCTGGGGAGAGAGAACACAGTCCCACTAGCTGATGTACTGAAATACATTAGAAAGTGTAACAGGGCACTTAGATAAATGAGGTTCAGGCCACTGCTTTTTACTTCACTGCTCTCCATGTGCAAAAATAACTGGCTCTGTATAAATTCCTCAGGATCAGCTCAGCTCAGTGTGTTCTAGGCAGGACCATTGTTAGTCATATTTTGCTGTAAGATACTGCAGCAATTGCATGGCCTTTTTCAGACCCTATAGCTGTATTTCTCCAGCTCTCTGAATAGTTAACTATTGCCCACAATGCTGTTTTTCCCAGTTGATGGCTCTGCTCTGAGTTGCTGAATGGAGTTTACATTCTCTTCCCATCTTTGATATGACTCTTTGTCCCTGGTTTTCCCTTTGTATAGTAGGAGCAGGGTGGGATACACTCATTTGCCCATGAGGGTGTGCTTCTACAGGCTGTGTTTTATTGGAAAGACCATTTGCTAGTTACTTACCTCCTTTCCAGCTCCTTAACAGCTGTGATGTCCTCCCTGGAGGCTGTGCTGCCTGCCTGAAAGCCATAGAGAAGAAAGGAGTCAGGGCAATGGCTCTTCTCTACCTTTTGCTGAAGACTTCCAACCCATCTGGGTACAGGCAGCTGCCCAGCTCCAAGGGAAAGGGTGAGTCCTACCTGTTCCTGTCAGCTGTCAGTGGGACTTGACAGCAGCTTGAACACTCTGTTATATGCTTGGAAGTGATTATTAGTGAACAACTGAACTTTCTGGAAGTGCTGCTCAGGAAAGGCAGTTAGGTGTGGTGGTAAGGAGAGCCAAAGTTAGTATTTAACTGTAGTTTGACTTGGCTTCTTCTGGGGAAAGAACTACTTGTGTTTAGGGAGAGAGCATGTCCTGCTGCCAAAGAAGTTTCTCTGACTTGAGAATGTTTTCCCTGACTTTTTGCACAGACTGTTATCCAGTCAGCCAGGACCCCCCTGAGCACTCACAGTGGTAGGAAATCAGAGCTGAGGCAGTGAAAATATTTGTACAAATATAATTCCCTAGCAGCATATGTAATACTAAAAGGAATGGACAGGGGATAGCACACAGGGTGCTGAACCTGGCAACAAGATAAAAGAGACTTATTTGCCTGGCTGTGCAGGAAGAAACCAGGGACAGTTTCACTGGGTCCATAGTCATTAATTGTCTTTAATAGATGACAGAGGAGCACTCACTTAAGATGACCCTAAATTTAGCTGAGGACCCTCAAGGACATCCTCTTCCTGCCTCTGCCTTGATTAAACATGTTCCTGAAGGGGAGAGACCTCCCAGCCTGGTGCACAGCCCAGCTCTGGTCATCTCTCAGAGCAGGAATGTTGGTTACAAGACCCTTGGGCTGTGAGCAGCCTCGAGGAGCCGAAGGAGAAGGAATCCCATCTACCTGCCTGTGCCCAAATCCTGCACCTCCTGATGAAGAGCTGCTCAGAGCCCCGGCCCTGAGCACAGAGCTGGGTGTGAAGCTGTTCAGAGGCACCCCCGGCCGCAGGAGGCAGCAGCAGTTGGGATCCTCAGGGCTGTGCTCCTGTGCCACGAGAGGGAGCTGGAGCCGCGGCGTCGGCACAGGGAGCCCTGGCAGGGTAGCCCAGGGCAGGGTGAGCCACTCCTCTCCTGCTGAAGCATCGTTCAGCTGCTGCTGCTCCAGGGAGTGGGAATTTGCACAGTAACATTATGGTAACATTCTGAATAATTAAACACCAGAATATGAAACTTTAGGTGTCTACCACAACCATTTAAGAAGGTCTAAACTGTAGCATGTATGATGCTTTCATTTGATGCTTTGTACTACTGCCCTTTGTGTGCCACAAACACAACTGAAATTAGACAAAGGGTCTGATTTCCTGTCAGGCAACTTTTAATAAAGCATTGGGAAATCTGTAATTGTAAAATAGAAAATGTAGTCACTGATAATGTTTTTTTTCTCTCTGTACAAAAAAAGATGAAAAATTGAAACTCCTGAAGAGTTTGGAAAGGAATTTTGTATATTCAGAAGAGGACAAAAAGTCTAAAAACTCATCCCAGGAGTCCATGGATGAAGATACACAAGGTAAAGAGGATTTATTTTATTTTCCCTGATACATAATTTAGTCTGACTGCATGTTTTTAAGGATTGACAAAGGAGATGTGGCAATTCTGTAGAGCTCTGAATAAAGTAAGAAATTGTGCAAAAGAGAGAATGTAGAAAATCATCAGTACCTGATTCATAATCAGCAAAACAGTGGCTGCCACCCACTCTTGTGGAAGTTGGTTTCAGAAGCATAGAAATCTGCTGCAAGATTCCTTCCATAAATAAAAGATCCTAACTTCTCTCTACAGCCCTTTATACAAGTTAATCCAACTTCAGGTTTTGCTGAGTTTCACCAATTCAGCCAGCTTTGAAGGGAGCTGTGAGGCAGAAGCAGCCAATAGTGATCCTTGCATTTCAAAGCCTTGATTTTTACCTTCAGATGGTTATATTGGGAGCAAACAACTACAGTGCTGTTGTTTCTGATGCTGCTAGCACATTTTTCTTTACTCTGATGAACAAATACTTTCTCTTATCCAGACAGTGATGAGGAAGATTTAGGAATACAGAAGACTGAAGGCCAGTTACTTGGAGGTAGGACAAAGTGACAGCAGTATTGGCTTTTACTAGAGGCAACCAATACAAACCAAAAAAGGATTATTTTTTGCATTCTTTGGGTTAGCTGTTGAACAAAGGTATATTAACATGTGTGGATGTAAAAGAAAGACAAGTTAGAATTTGGCTGTAGGAAAGACATTTCCTACAAGATGAAGCTCAGCTAATGCTGACACTCAGCCATGCCCTGTGCTCAGAGTTGAACCAGGAAAGCAGCAAAATCTGCTGTTGTGGGAGGAGTCCTGCTGCCTGGGTCTGCACAGCTGCCACTGAAGTGCAGCAAGAGGGTTCTGAAAACATCTGTCACAGCCACCACCTAGAGGGGCTGCAGTCAGCCCACAGCACTGACTGGAGATCATCAGCAAGGGCCACCTTGTTCCTGAGGATTTTCCTTTCCTATCAAAGGAAAAATGGAAAATAAGTACAAAGCAGATGAAGAAAATGTGCTGTGTCAGTACATAAAAATACCTATAGAACTAGGAATGTAAAAATGTAAAGCATTAATATTTTAATTAATGTCTTAAACTGAGCTCAGCCCAAATGTAGGAGCAGCTCATTTAAAATTGACAGAAGGAGATCTAACCTGTCTCCCAGGAGTCTGATTCTACCTGAATCATTCTACCCCTCCAGATACTTGGAAAGATGGAATAGCAGGGGGGAAGAATTCAGTCATTTCCCACTTTTTGACTGCATAATCCCCAGCAGAGGCACCCTCTTTTAGTGGTTAGAGTTGGTCTCTTCCTTGTCTCTGTTACACATCCACACTGGTTTCAGGGAGCTGATGGGCTGGCACTGGCACAGACACCCTCACTGCAGGTATTAACCTACCTCATCTCTGTGTCATGTTTTAGGAATACCAGCAGAGATGGTTCCCTACAGAGATTCAGGTAAGAGTGACTCCTGGGTCACCTCATCCTGCTGGAATGACTATAACTGCAGTGTCTTCTTTCTGACCTGCTGAGACATTAAAAAATAACTCTCAGCCTGTAAATCCCTTGGTTTCCAGTTAGCATGGTGTTGGGCCTGGGCACGGTGCAGACATTCTGTTGCAAGGCTGTGGTAGTGCCTGCCTGACAGCAGTTGATTTGTACAAGGTATTCTGGCAGATTAACCCATCTTTGTAGGCCTGCCAGGCTCTCACAAGATCAGCTCATAGCAGTCATTCTTTAGGGGAAAACCCAGCAGTTCTGTTGGGCAACTGTTCAGTCTTAGCCAAAAAAGCTAGAGGTAGTTTTTAGCATTCCCTGAAGCCCTCTGTCTCCTGCTGAGCAGGGGTGCAAGGCTGGGAGGGACCTGGAACCTGCTTTCTGCCAGCAGTGATGCTTGGCTCTGAGTGCACAGCATTCCCAGCAGGAGCTGCCAGTTGAAAGCCTCTGCAACAGAGCAACAGTGCCAGGCAAGAGGCCTGCACAGACAGGCAGTGTGAAGGCAGACTTCCTCCCACCAGACACTCTGCACAGCCCCAGAATGTTTGTAAAAAGGCCACAGCAGGAAATTGCCAACAGCTTAATTGCATTACTGAGCTCATCCCTCCTGTGCCCAGGCCAAGGCCACAGCATGAGTTAGGAGAGACAAACAGCCCAGTGGAAGCAGCCTTTGGAGAGGACATCTGCTCCACTTCTCTTCTGTGCAGTGGAAAGTTACAAATTGCACCATAATCCCTTGGGGAGGTTTTTGAGTTACCTATCCCAGAAGCCATAGGGACACCAGGGCAGAGGAATCCATTGCAGGGCCATATTCTCCCCACACTGCCAGGTGCAGAAAGGGTCATGTTACTTTTCCCCTTGGTGTTTGGCCTCTCTACCACTCACCCCAGTTTTGTTGCAGATAGGTGGTTGCTCACTGTGCTTCTTGGTGCTGAGTATGGTGGGAAGCTCTGTATTTGTATTTTTTCCATCAGAAGTAACAAAACTCTATTTCTTTTCAGAGATTGCCAGAAGAGAAGATTCAGATGTAGATGGTGAGTACAAACATGCAAATTAAGAAGTTTATTTTGTGGATGTTCTTTCAGGAGTTTTGCTTAGTGTGGTGAGGGCAACACCAGCTCCTTGATGCCTAGAGATTGTCTAATCAAAAAGTAGAAGGTTGAAAACAGGTAAGAACATGGAATGCTTTAACAGAAAAAATACTGTGCAAGTCATTCCATGATGCCAAGTTACAGTGGGACTGTTACATTTAGGAAGTAGAGTAAGACACTTGCCATGTGTGAATTGATGTTCTGCTAAATTCTTTATCTATAGATCATTCATAAAAATGCATGGGGTTGTATCTGTGAGTCAGAATAAAGCAATACTATGTTATTAATTAGAAAATAATTGAGTTTGCCCCCAAACCAGACTGTGATTAATCCAGACAGCTCAAAGAGGCAAAAAACTGATGCCTGTATCAGGTGACCCAGAGCAGAGTTTCTGTTCAAGGTTTAATTGTTCTGTGGTTCAAAAGCACCACAGCAAAAGTCTACAGCTCATGTAAAGGACCCCTCTAGTCCTCACCTGTTCCATCTTAAGAGAAAATTCACTGCCAGGCAGAGGTTGCCCAGTGTAGGGGAAATCAGCACCTGAAACTTGTTCTGAATGAACTCCCAAAGGCTTGGGTGCAGCAGGTGCCTCAGGGGTGCTCAAACCACCAACAAAGAGAAAAGGAAAAAACTGCTGCTTTAAACCTGTTGTTGGAGAGATGGTAAAATACTCAGCTCTTTCTGGCAATACAGGTGGAGAAAAAAGAGAATTTGGCAACTCCGCTCATGACAAAGAGCAAACTGCTCTGTGTTTAAACTTCTAAAATACCTCATTTGTTCTTATGTTGTTTTTTCTGTGTGCCAGTGTGGCTGCAGGAGACTCATTTCAGCAGCAGGTCTCCTTTTGGGAGGTGCAGAAGTACTTGGTGTCAGGTGTTAGTAGAGGGATGTTTCTCACACCCTCAGAAATGAAGGGATCCTTTTACTGTAGCTGTGGTTGTGCAAAGCACCCAGGAATCAAACTGAAGCTCCCTTGTACTATGGCTTTACTCCCCCACTGTCATTCTGAGACTATGGCTTGTCCCAGAAGAGGCAGAAAAAACCCAGAGTGCTTTAAAACAATTCAGTATTGTTAATGCAGCCATCTGGTTATACTTTTTAAAATTCATTTTTAAACCCATGCTCTTTGGAGTGATTTTAAAATAGCTAATTTGATTTTTCTGAAAGGATTCCAGACTAACAAACAGTTTTACATATATTCTGCTCTGACAATCTATTTCAGATACAAAAGGGAAATAAACTTTGAAGTCCTTAATTTCACAGTTCCATAGTACTAAAAGACTTCTCTTTTTTGTAGCTTACGAGGAGGAGAGCACTCACCCCCCTCAGTGCACAGTACGGTGGATGGGCATACGGAAGGATGGTAATTGATTTATTAAATCAACCTGATGTCAAACCTGTTGAACCTTAGTCCAAGAATAAGATCTCTGATTCAAAAAAACCTTTATTTTTCCAACATGAGTACTTTGTTGAAGTGTATCAAGGCTTCATGATGAAAATCATTGAGGCTTCTCACAATGTTGAGCCTAGTCCCTGAGAAATCTCAGGGAAATTTCTTTCATTCCATGAGTGATACTCTGTACCTAAAGGTGAATTTGGATGGGCCATGGCTGCCGTTGTGACCTAATCTTCCCTCTCAATTTCAGATGAATTCTTTCATTTTGTCATTCTTTGCTTTGCAATTGGAGCTTTACTAGTTTGCTACTACTACTACAAAGGTAAGGCAAAATTCAATGGAAGGATGTATCATTGCACTGTAGAAAAATGAACAAAACTAACATTTATTTTGTTGCCTTAGATTGGACTATTTCTCTTGGGATTGGTTTAATCACCTTTGCTTCCCTGGAAACCACTGGGATATACTTTGGTCTAGGTAAGTGTCCCTCCAGCAGCAGCTGTGTCCCTGCTCTAAGGACAAGGTCACACAGTTGCCACAGCCCATGAAATTGCCGGGGCTGAGATTCTGTAACTCACCATGAAACTCCCCCAACATCTCCCAGTTACAGAGGGGATGCAGACAAGCAGCCTTAATGCTACTGAAGGGAGAGGTTGACTCATTTTTCCTTCTCAGTGATCACAAGACCCTGAGTCACCTCTTTCTGCAGCAATGGCCGAATGCTGCGTTGCCATGACAACGTGTAATTTTAGCAGCAAGGCCTGTCTTCCCAGATCCACTGCATAAGATGCTGTGCATCCTGGCTGCCATGCATTCCCCTGGGACTGAGGATGAGCTTGGGCCAGCAGCTACTGGAAATATTAAAACCTGGGCATTTTGACAATCCTTAAGGATGGTGTAGGAGTGCTGCCACCAGCAGCAAGTTGTGGCTCCCAAACCAAGAACTTGTCTCCTCTGTAATCTCATGTTAACATGGTGGGAGGTTATGGATGGTTCTCTCATTACTCAGCCTGATCTTTCTTATTAATGATGTTGCAGATGTGCTTGTTTAAACAAGTGTCAGTGTTTGGGTTTTGCCATTTTTTACTTTTTTTGTTTTATGTTGCTTATCTTATACCTTTGTTTTCACACCCAGTGTACCGAATTCGGAGTGTCCTTGACAGCTTCGTGCCTCTGATTGACAGATTCAGGCCAAGAGGTAACAGTGCTCTTTTTCCTGACAGCATGTCTTGCCTAGACCTTGGCTTGGTCAGGAATTAAGACCAACTCATTTAAATGCCAATTTCCCATCTTGACTGCCTTAAAAAAAAAAAGGAGTATATTTCTACAGTTCATTACAGCTGCTTGGGTTTGAAAATTAATTACTCTTGACTGTTTCCCTGTGGCAGAACATTGTCACATTTTTAATACTCCACCCTGTGTGGGGTATTATTTCCTGGCAGTGTCTGTGTAAGAATTCTATAGCTTAAATAAAAACTAGGGGGTGGAGGAGTCTTCACTTGTTGGGTCTTCAGACAGACTCCTGGTTCATGTTTACCCATGTTTAGGGACACAAAACATGAAGAATACTGAAAAGCTGCCTGGATACAGTGCAATCTCAACACAGCAGTCCTGACAGGTGTCTTTTTCTTTATCCCACAGGCATGAGGAAAGCTGCCTAGGAGGAGTATTTAAGGAGAGTTCCCCAAACCTGGCTGTCCAAATTTCCAGTACTAAAGCAACTGCTTTATGAGGTGAACCTAACCACCAAATGGCCAATGTGAAATACTGAAATGTGAAACTTCTGAAAAACATTGCTCCTTTCCCTCCAAAATAAACCTGAAACTGGGGTACAGGGCCCCACTCTGGATTCTGAAGTGGCTTGGGGCTCAGCAGAGCTTGGAAGACAATGGAGATGTAGCTTTATGTTCAGTTCCATTGAAATACAAACACAGTCACCTTCCCTGCCCCAGGCAGCCAGGGGGTGGTGCATCTCTCATTTAACAAACCACTCCAGTGTGCCTGTGGTGTACCAACAGAGCAATGGCCTGTGCTGGTTCTGGCTTAGGCTCTGGCTGTTTCTGTAGGGATTCTGGCCTCCTCCTCCTCTTCCTCCCCCTGGTGCTGCCCAGAGCAGGCAGAAGCCGGCCCTGCTCTCCCAGCTGAGCCCTGTGGTGCTGGCCCTGGGGCTGATGAATCGATTGTGGCAGAACTCGGAGCAGTGGGCGGGCAGTGCTTCCACCCGAGGAGAGCTGGGGAGATGTTACAGGCACTAACAGAGTGCTGCAGTAATGAGATTATTATTAACAACAGCAGATTTCATCTTTTCTCAGGGGAAAAACAAAGTGTTTGATTTGACTCATACTCCAACCTTTTTCTTTCTTTGAGTAAAATAAACACAAAACTTTAACATTATAGGATATGTTACACATTGCAAGAATGCAATCATAGGAAGACTGCAACAAAACTACGTTTTAAGTAAAAATACCCACAGAATGATGAAGGCAACCAGTTGAAAAGAAAAAGCCATAAACATGGACTTTTAAGGAAATGTAAATCTGAAAGCTGTAAAGCCAAACAGCTCAGAGTATTACAGGAACAATTTCAAGCCTTGCTCAGAAAATTAGAAAGATTACTTGTTGTTGTATGCAGTTTGAAGCACCAGTGCCAGTCACTCTTGCCTGCACCAGTTGAAATACGAGAAACACCAACAGTTGCACTCAGGCCTGCACCAACACAGCACAGCTGCCACCCAATGCCTCAAGAGCTAAATTGTGCAAGAAGGATGAATATAAATTATTTCATAGTATTTATATGCTCCTTTACATGTCTTTGTAGAAATATTTCACCATCCCAATCTACTGTATATTTTATGTTAGTCTGCAGATAAAGTCTTGCTCAGAGCACTGTAGCCATGCTAGAGGCAAATGGCTTTTGGGTGAACTGAAAACTACAGTCACCCTGTTCTGTTGAAAAGGGCTTTTTTGGTGTCCTCTGCTGTCTAATGTCTTTCTGAAAGGCAATTTGTGGAGCAGTCAAGATGAGAAACATGTTTCAATACTTAATGTTTTAAATTTGGTACTCTGCATTAAACATAAATTTTTAATTTTAACAGAAACTGCTTAAGGGTAAAGTAAGCAAAACATTTTAAAAGTGCAAAACATTTAAAAAGTCACCAAGTGCATCCCACCATGTGAGAGGAGCAACTAAGCCACTTACAGCAGGTCCCATGAGAAAAGTCAGTTCTCAACAAAAAAACAACTTACACATTGAGCTGCATCCTCTTGAGTACCTGGGAATTTCCTGCTCTTCTTCCAGATCCTTTAGTCCTTCTCAGCATCATCCTTGCTGTAGCATCAGCCAAGAACTCAAAACTACAAGTTCCTAGGAGGAGTTCCAACTTTTTTCCTTCACTAGTGCTGTCTGCACTACCATTCAGCCCAGCTGGGCCTCACTTCCCCGTTGGTTCCCCAGGACTTGGAACATCTCATTCCACTTCAGCACCACCCAGCACATTGGGTACATCCTCCTTGCCTTTGGTTTGAAATGGCTGGGGGCAATGCAGAGAGGAGGGGCTCTAAACAAGCAGGTATTGCCCCATAACACCAAACCCCACAGAGAAAAGAAGAGATGAAACCCCAGAAGGTTTTTTAAGCTGGTATTTTTATTAGAACTCTCTACATAAAGCACCTTTGCCTGCCTTAACCTCTCCGAACGCAGCTCTTGGTTACACAGCACGAGATGCTCCCATCTACTCGGCATTCCTGGACTTGGACACAGCTGCCCTCACCGCCTGCATGATGGCATCCTTGTCAATGCCAAACATCCTCAGCAGCTCAGCTGGCTTCCCGCTGCGGGGCACGTGGGACACGGCCAGGCGAGTGACGGTGACGCCGGGCTCGCCCACCACAGCAGCGCACACGGCTTCGCCCATGCCACCTGCGGAGAGAGGGAGATATGGCACTGGTGGAGCGTCCCAGCAGGAACATCCACACTGTGTGGGTGGGGCCTGCCACTTACAGCCTTCATGCCTGGCCTCAGGAGAGCACCAATCACACGTGTCTGAATGGGCTGACTGTGAACTGAAAACCCTGGCCTGTGCCAGAGGCATCCTGAGGACAAGCAGGCTGCCGTTTCTGAAGTACTCAGCCATAAGCAGCAGGACACACCTGCCTCTCAAGGGCACAGGACTGTCAGCAAGCTCTCACCACCTCAGCATCAGCCACCAGGAACCAGGTTTAAAAATACACTTTGACTGAAGAGCATTTACAAGTGTACTTAACGTGCTGAAATTCCAACCAATCTCAGCAGCTCAGAGCTCCATCTTTTCACAATGCTTGTACGTGCTGCTGGGCACCTCTCTGGGTTATGTAATGTATTCACAACCTTTGCTCAGAGCTCTGCTCTGACTCACTATCAGTCACAGCGACAAAGGATGCAACGGGAACTGCATGGAGGCAGGAGAGACACTGGAAGCAGAAGTACTAAGGAAAAAGAAAATGGGACTTGGGTCAAAAGCATGTGCTGTGAGACCTGGTAGAAGGGACACCTCCGTGCCACCCTTCAGAGAGTGTATCCAGGATCACAGGGCTGCCCACAGCTCCAGGCATGGTGGGATTTAACCAAACTGAGCCTGCGGCCAGGTCCACCTCTGTGGATGCAGCTGGTGAGCTCAGTGTGCCTGCAAGCACAGACACCTGTCCTGCCTGCACCACAGAGCACCATGCTAGCACAAAGCTCCTGTTCAGCACCTCACAGTTAAGACTCTGCTGTCTTGCAAACTTGCAGTAAAATACTTGCTCAGAGATGAGCACTGAGCTAGAAAATGATGAGGTTCAGTGATCTGTCACCATCCATAGTCTGGGACAAAACATGGTGTATCCAGCACTTAAGGTAGAACCAGCTCACTTCAGGTACCTGGCAAGAGTGATGCTCACCTTAAATTAAGGTAATATTCTCATAACTGTATCTACTAATTTCTGTTAGTAGATATCTATGGTGGTGGAGAAGAAAAAGAGAGGAATTTATCCCAGAGTAACTGTGGAAAAACTATGGAAACTGCCCAAACCATCTGATTTCAGGTAACCTGGAGCCAGGCTTTTGGACACATGGAATACTTAAACCTGCACAGCAATGGTCTGTCTTGCAATTTCACACCTGCAAAGAAGCTGCTGTACAGCCTTTCAGAGAACACATTGAGCAGAATGCCTGCAGCACAGCAGGAATTTACAATTTCACTGGGCACAAATGAATCCAGACTTTGCTTGGACCAAGCACAGAAAGGACACACAAGGCTAAGTTAATCAAAAGGCAGCCCTGATTACCCCTTAAATCTTTGGAACCTTTCAACCCTTAGTGTCACTTTATAATCCTAACAGCACCAAAAAAACCTGAAATCTCTCTTTTGCTTTCATGGGATGACAGCATCAGGTCTCATATTCCTCTGTCAGGTCAGAAGCTTCCAGCCTCTGAGGGCTGTGACCTCCCAGACCCTTCTCACCTTCATGGTAATGGTCCTCAACAGTGATGATTCTGCCCTTGGTTGCTCTTGCATTTTCAAGTATTGTCTTCTTATCCAGGGGCTTTATAGTGAAGGGGTCAATCACACGGATGTAGATCTTTTCTGCATAAATAAAGGAAAGTGATTTGCAACAATGAACTGCAACATGCAAGACAATGCCAGTGGTCCAGGCAATGGCTGTGATCTCCTAGACCATTATGAGCACTGCCCCCATGAACTCCCAGGTACCTGTATCTCTGGCTCATCTACCACAGAACCCAGCCAAGCCTAATTTCTATATGTATTCTTTCTCCATGGACCTTGTGCAATAGTGATACCCATTTATTCACAGACATGATGGAGGAGGCTTGGATGAGGGACTCAAGGTTACCAGGAGCACCCATCAGTAAAAAAGTAATCTAACTGTCTTTCCCCAGGTAAGAGAGAATCCAGCCACCAGAGAGATCCTCCTTACTCAGGCTGTCAATTGTAATTTTTTTTCCAGACTTTTATTTTACCTTTATTGTCAAGTCAAGTGCAATTTCCACCTGATTCTTTGGTGTGTAGGCATTCTGAATTCTTTCTTTACTGCAGGCTGCCACCTCTCAGGTGTGCCTATCTGAGCTGCCCAGCCCTACCAGAGCACCCTTAAGGTTGGTTGGCACCAAACCCAGATATGCCCCGCCCTCATAAGGCCCAATGGCTCATTAAAGCTGTACACAAATGGCAATTGTTTATAAAGAATAGCAATTATGTGAGGTTGTCTCTGATCCTGGCTGGCTGAACACTGGGCTGACTCCTACACATGAAGAGGCCCTATTGTCATTTTGTGACTAAAGGCTCTTTAGTGGCCAATACATTTTGGATATTAGAGTTTGCCTCTGCACTGTGGGATTATATCTCCAGAGGTGATTACTCAGACTTCAAGATCAGCAGAGCACTGTAAAACACAGTAAGTGTAGAAAAATAACAATGGTTCTGAAAATAAAACTTTCAAAATGTCCTAAGCCTGGTGACTTAAGGTCATGACAAAGTATCAGTCCACCCAGCTGCTGCACACAAAGCTCCCCATAAGCCACAGGCAGCATTACTGTATTATCTCCTGCTATGTGTAATCTCTTCCTGAGGAGAAGCTCCTGACTCACAGATGGGTTTTTGATGGTTTCTTTCTCTTGTTTCATTGAAGGGTTACCATTGCTGTGAGATGGCAGTGGCTTGAGCACTGCCATAGATTTGTGCTCCTCCCACAGTGGTTCAGAGTTGCTGCATTCAAAGGAACCCAGGTCAGCAGTGAGCCCAACCCAGGACCAGGTGCCATGGCCACACACAGGTGCCAAGCTGTGCTTTGGGACCTGGCCCCAGCCTGTTTGCAGCTGATTGTGCTGTACCAGACCAGGTGCCACTCCTGCTTCTCACACAGTGTCCCCAAGGCTCTGCCCACAGGGCACTACCACAGATCAACAATTCTAAGGACACCCTGGTGTGATCTGTTGTCAATTTTCATGGCTACTGATGCTGCTAAGCCAACTAAAACCTCCTCCATTAGGTGAGACTGGCAGCTGCATGCTGTGTTGTACTGTATCAGCTAACAGTGCCTGACAGTCAGTGCCTGACTAGCTGAACAGCTGAACAGTGTCATTAATGTTTACCAGTACAAAGGGTGAGCACTTAGGCTGACTGGTATTGATTTTTTTTGGTGTTACATGACAAAAAGGAAAAAAGCCCCACCTTTTCTCAGCTGCTCTGCTGCAGCCAGTGCTTCATGCAGAGTGACTCCTGCTCCAATCACAGTCACTTGGTCATCCTTACTCTTCAAAACCACCTGCAAGAAAACATGTCCATGTGTTTTTAACACTTAATCTTACTGGTTTTTTTTAACATTTCTAGAGATTTTAATGAAAAGATCAAATTTTTGCAACACTTTAGAGGGAAAAGGGCTTTTACAAAAGGAACACTGCATATTTTTCTAATTCTATTTATCTGTGCAGTATTTACCTTTGCCTGTCCAATATGGAAGTCCTCATTGTTGTTGTAAATGACAGGGTTTTCAGGACGACTGGTTCTGATGAAACAAATGCCCTGTTTCCAAGGTAAACATGTTAGAAGTTAGGAAAACAGAAAAGTGTTAATATTCTAATTGGTAAATCCTATGAAAAAAATACAGCAAAATGACTTTTTCTATTTGTCTGATGTTCACCCTCCTATGTTGCCTCTGGTTGTTCTAAGTAAACTCTGCCCCACCAATTCCCATTAGTCCTTTGTGGCAGCTGGTTGCTTCAAGCAGTACAAAACACTGCACCTCCTCTTAAAGCACACTGATAACTTACAATTTCCTTTCTGATTCCAAGATACTTACTCCTCTTCTGTTCTCTTGTGGAAATGGAGAATCCTATTTGAGTTAATTAGACTCCTGGAGCCATATCATACCTGTGCAACTTTTACTCTGTCAATTTTAAATTGGAGAAGAATGCTTGGTTGAAAGCAAGGAAACAGGCTTTCCATCAGTTAAAGTTCAGAGACCCTTCCAGAAGAAGTAGCAAACTTATACTTTAATCTCTTCTTCCCACTCCTTTCCCCATCTTCCATCTTTTTTTCCACAAACCACTCATCATATTTGTTACACACCAAATTTCCACACTCCTTCACTGAAAACCTACATGTAGTAGCAACATTGAATTTTTTCAGATCATTTGCTCCTTTCTCAAGAAAAACTTGTATGGCAGCCAAGGAAAATACTGATCAATGAGATTATCAAAATCCTCAATATAGAGATTTATCTTTCCCTATCCAGCTTCAAGTTTGACCCAGAGACAAGGTACTAGGAGAGCACTTTTAGGTTTGCTAAAGACCTACACTTTAATTCAATATAGATTCAAACTGTACTTGTGTAATCATTTACATCTCCCCAAATCTGGCCCACAGCATTCAAGATTGTTCATTCTGCACTAGCCTGGACAGAATGTCTGCAACCTTTCCTTGATAAGAAAACATCCCACTGCCCCAGTGGAGCCTTGGGAAGAATTTATGTGGGTAGAGACATGCAAGAAACATGCCAGAAGCAACAAGAGTAGTACAAAAGCCAGAATTATTCTCTGACTCAGAAATACTCTGATGCAAACCTTAGTGTTGGCAGCTATTTCCACTGCTTTTTCAGTGGCTACAGCATCACTGGGGTAAAACACAGTGGAGTTGGGAATAGCCCGGAACATGCTCAGGTCCTCCAGCCCCATCTGAGATGGCCCATCCTCACCTGGAAGGATTAAAGCAGAGTTACAAAAGAGCAAGTGCACATTTTTGACAATCACTCAATGTAGAAGTGAGGTTCAACGTAAACCAGGCAAAAAAGGAGAAAAGGATAAAATCAGGCACACACACGACATGCAAGTCTACCTGCTTGAGAAAAGAATCATCTTCTCCTTAAACTTGGAACCATCTAAACAGTAAATAAGGATAGAAAGAGACTAAAAAGAAAGAGAACTGGGATTAAAAAGAAAAAATAGGAAGTAAAGTATAACAATAAAACAACACAAAAGGAATACAACCAAATAGGAAGGGTACAGATACAGAAAGAGGGTCACAAGATATCTGAACATCTTCAGATTTACATGTGCTGAGGCAAAATTTATACTTGTCAATAAGTGTTCCTCCAGATTTAAACTGCTGGAAATGTGAAAGGAAAATTGCATGTGTCCCATCAGAAATGGAGAGTGCAATTGGTACAACTACTCTCAAATTCTTAGGCTGATTTCAAGATTAAATGAAGGGTATGTATGTACTTTTTAATGCTGTAAAAAGGTCTTTTAAGGAGCAATAGGGCATCTGTGTTGTTAATTTAACAACTCAAGCACCTCATGGCACAAACTGCAGATCTATGAAAAGGAATTGTTAGCCAGGACACGTGCTGGGTGCCATGATTTTCCATGGTTAAAGAAACAACCACCACAACACCCCCCGCCCCCAGTGACCTTATGTAAGGGAGCTTTGGGAATGGCACTGCTCCAAAGCAGCCATGCACAGAGCTCTGAATCCACTCATGTCACAGCCTGCAGCAGCAGGGCTAAGAGCCTTCCCACATGCACCCACTACCTGTTATTCAAGAAGGACGAGTTCACGAGGAAGGAGGAGAATATGTTCCTAAGAGCAGCACAGAATTCTGAAGAACTTTAAACACGTTAAAAAGATCAATCATTGAACTCTGCCACTGAACATTGCTAATGAAGTAAGCACAGACCAGGAAAAGAAAGTGTCTTGGCTTGCAATCATGACATGAAGAAACCTTCAACATCACAGTTTCTAAATGTGTGTACTCTGAGTGAGAGGGTCCAGTGGGCATTTTCCTTTCCTAAAATGCACTCACACAATGAAGGCATAGAAGGAAATGAAATTATGAAGAATAAAATTATCAGGTGATAATTTTAATATCCTGAATCTGAATCTTATCCAAGATAGAGAGTTACTCATGCTTGTCCTGCTTTTGCTATGGTGGTGCCAATACCACCAACATTCAAAGCTCCTCAGTTCAATTCAAAGTGACTTACATACTGCCGCCAAGTTGAGTCTGGCCCCATGTCTTTATGAAAATGTTAATTTATATGAGTTTGGAATGCCACAGATCAAATGACAGTATAATTCTCAATTACATCTGCAAAACCTACATTTATAGCTTAATAAAAGAAGTAAATGCTTAATATGAGCAGTAGCAAATGTCCAGAATATAAAACAGTCTAAAGAATTGATATTTTTATTTCTGACACATGTACACTATGATTTCTTTTCCTATATGTTCAGTTTGAAAAATACAGATTTTTCCATTATTCTCTTATGACCTCATAACTTATTTAATGTTTCAGTCCATCAGCAACTATTGGTCTAGGAGTGAACTTGTAAAAGTTCAGAAGGTCATTGTGATAGCTATTTCTCATAAATTTAATGGCTCAAATTTCAGTGCAGCAGAAGCCCAGGTCTGCCTAGAACTGCATACATAAAACTTCAATTTTCACCACAGATCCAGATTGGATTCTGAATTCCATGCAGATTTGGAATTCCATGTGGCCCAAAGTTTTAATAGGAAGTATGCTTCATTCATACCCTTTCATTTAAAATTGAATTTTTTAACTGCTAAAATATTTTTCTGAATAACTTTCTTTATAACTCTTCATATAAGTTGCAAAACTTCCATTAACATCATATAACTCTTATAAAACTTTATATAGCTCTTTGTATAAGTTGCAAAACTTTAGGTTGAAATTCTTTTTTGAAAATCAAGTTGAGGCTTGAACAAGATTTGTACTTTAAACAACTTTATAAATCCAAGTCTGCACCTCACAGTCACAGCTCCCAGCAGAACATTTCATGTGCTGAAAATTGAAACTTGGAAGTGTAGTTCTAGGAGACAATTCGGGTAACCCAAAAGAGTTTCATCTTCCTAAATCAGCAAAGACCAAACCTAATTGGCTTTTACATCAACACCCTGCTTGCTAAAAGTCTGAGTGTGGAAGGACTGATTTTAATGAGAGCCTTGTAATAGAATCCCTCCCTTAATTACATCCATGCTACATCCAGTCTCTGCTCCAGAGAACTGTACTGCTACAGGTTAAGTTTGAAGTTTGGGATGAGATTACATGTGTTTATGAAGCATCTTTAAATCTTTACCAATATTACAGATCAACTTAACTGTTTTGTTTTAAATGAAAAAAACCCTAAAACATCAAATTCTTCGTCAAGCCTTACTGCCAGCCAAAACTATTAAATCAACTGAAAAACTGATGTAGGCAGTGAACCTTAATTTACTACCCCTGTCAGCTCTCCCTCTCTTTCACTTTCCCTAGAAATACCTACTAGTTTTTCAAGCATGAATGTCTACTTGCATTTTTCTTCTTGGTATGCAAGTCTGCTCCTGTTTTCATGGGTCATGTCTATGCATTTCAGATTAAAAATAAAATTCTCTTCCTCCTTCAAACCAAAGCCAACCCCACTATGATCTGACATGTTCGTAACAGTTACAATGGGAAGCCAAGACCAGAGAAGGCTCTGCTGGTGAGGGCCCTCAGCCAGTTGGACTGAATGTGCTGGCTCTGCTGCCTTGGTCTCCACTGGCAAACCCTTTTCCCACACCTCTCAGGTGGATGGGCTGCAGGACAGGGCCTGGACAAGCAAAGTTCCTTCTGCTCTAAGACATCCTGGGTTTGGCTGGGACAGTTAATTTTTTTCTTAGCTGGTTCAGTGGAGTGTTTTGGATTTAGATGAGAATGCTGTTGATAACACACCAATGTTTTGGTTGTTGCTGTGTGTGTTATCCTAAATCAAGGACTTTTCAGTGTCCTTGTCCTCTGCCAGTGAGGACAAAAAGCTGGCAGGGACCATGGCCCAGGGAGCTGGCCCAAGCTGGCCACAGGGACATTCTATACCACAGAATGCCATGCTCAGCATACAAACTGGGGGAGGTGGCTGCAAGGGGCTGACCACAGCTCAGGGACAGGCTGGGCATTGCTCAGTGGGTGTTGAGAAATTGTATTCTGCTTGTTTTTTGGAGTTAATTTTTATAACTACAATTATTATTATTACTAGTACTAGTAGTAGCAGTTAACCTACAAGTTTTTTTCTGATTCTCCTCCCAATCCCATTGCAGGAACAGGGAGTGTGTGAGTGGCTGGGTGGTACTTGGTGTCCAGCTGGGATTAAACCACAACAGATCAGGCTCGTGACCTCCTGAGGAACCTCAAGCTACAAGAGTCCATGGGAGCTGAGCAGATGCATCCCAGAGTCCTGAGGGAATTGGCTGAAGTAGCTGCCAAGACACTCCCCAGGAAAAGTCACAGCAGCACCAGGTGGAGTCCCCAGTGACTGGAAAAAGGGAAACACTGCACCTGGTTATAAAAAGGGAAAAGAGAGAATCCTGGGAACTACCAACTACCACTCTGTGCCTGGGAAGATCCTGGAACAGATCCTCCTAGAAGCTGTACTAAGGCACATGGAGAGAGGGAGGTGATTCAAGACAGCCAAGGGTAAGTCCTGCCTGACTTTGAGCAACTTTGTCTAGTGGGAGATGTTGGAAGGAGATGAACTTTAAGGTCCCTTCCAACCCAAAACCTGTGATTCAATTTTCTGAATTATATAACAGCTTCACAGTTCCTGTTTCATTAGTATATAAGAGATTTTGGATTTTTTTAATCACCATATTAACAATTTCAGTAGTAAAAAATACTGGGATAAGTTGAAATGGTTATTTCAAATGTGTGATCTCTAAAGTGTTTTTGAGATTGATGGACAAGAGTATCTGTGCAAGAACAGTATCATTAGTAAGAGAGAGATTCCCAGTAAGAGACTGGGAAACAATGGTACAGTAAGCACATGACTATTCTCTCCACAGAGAGAACATTCTCTCATTTTTCATCAACTGCAAAGATGAAATGGAACCTGAACCCCTCAGTTTCAGTCCAATCCCTTTATATCAGTCTTTACTTGTACAGTAGGAAATCTTGTAGGGAAAAGTCCTATTTTCATCAGGCCAAAGAGGAAAAACAAGGCCGATGACAGCTTGAAATTTTTCTCATTCTTTCTAAATACAACAGAAGCGGACTTGCAAATACAACTTCCTGCTATTCCTGCTGCCACTGTTACACCTCCCCAGCTCCAGCACAGCTTGGCTGCACAGAGCAGGATGCACCTGGCTGCCAGCCAGCCATCAGGGAGGGGCTGGGGCCGCTCCTTACCGATGGAGACGCCGCAGTGGGAGCCGCAGAGGTTGATGTTGCTGTCGGAGATGGCGGCCATGCGGATCTGGTCAAACGCCCGCGAGAAGAAGGTGGCAAAGGTGCTGGCAAAAGCAACGGTCCTGTCACGAGTGGCACAGCCAACTGCAATGCTCACCTGAGAGAGGGACATTGGATAAGAACAGTGAATTCCTCATTTATCAGTGGTTTCCAGGACATCGTCTGTGGGACTTGTTGCTCTAAAAATTAGGAAGAAGCTCTCAATGCAGATTAAAAATCTCTGTTTAGTCCTGCTTCTAATTGCTGGCATTTCCAGAAAGGAAAGGAGGCAACTCACCCTCCCAGTATCTATTCTCCTGCATCTCCTCTGCTCCATGCTTCAACTGCTAGCTGTTATTGTTGACTCTTACTGGCAGCTTCTTTTCTTTATCTGCTTAAAGCAGCCATTCAAAGATTTTTTAAGACTTATCCCTCTCTTTCTTCTCCTCGATCAAAGGCTTAGGTTCTCAGTCCAATGGACATGGTCTTGCTATCTCCAGAAAACAAAAATCATCATTAGTAAGAGGGAATGGATTTACCTGTGTTATTTGGACTGGTATTTACTAAAAGGGCCCTTTAGCAAACTAGAAATTAGAACAAGGTTCCTAAATTGGTTTTTGCTACAGTTACTTCACATTTATTTGAAAAACAAGTATTAGACCCCCACTGTAAGGGGACTCACACTGAATGGTCATAGTGATCTTTCAATAAAGCCAAGGGAGCAGTTACCATGTTCTGCTCAGCAATGTAGCACTCAATGTAGCGACTGGGGTGTTCCTTCTTGAAGAGCTCAGAGAAGGTGGAGTTCTTTGTGTCGCCATCCAGGGCAATCACTCGATCGTTGGCGTGGCCCAGTTTTGCAAGCGCAACCCCGTAAGCCTTGCGGGTGGCCCACTGCAAAAGGAAAACACACCAGGGCTGCTGGAGCTTGCTGCTTTCTAGAGGCTTTTTTTTCTTCCTGCTTTATTGTTTTCAATGATAGCAGTATCAAGAGTACATATGAGTATGGTGACACATAGAAGAGTAAACAAACCCACAATGAAGCATTAGAAAAAACATCTGTGCTGAAATCGGCAACTCCCCACCAATCTGGCTAGGAAATGTTTAAAACCTTGCTTTCCAATCATAGAAATTCACTGAACCTCAAGGAGTTTCTTCAATTTCAAAGGCACATAAAATAGTTTAGAAAATTGATAATGATCTTGAAATGATGAAGAGTGATTTGAATCTCCATATTTTAATGTATTTATATACTCTTTCAATAACAGCAAGTTGTCTGTGTCACACCACAGAAACAGGTGTCTGCCTACTGAGAAGAGCAGGGGTAGTTGCAACTGGGGGAAGAGAGAAGACAAAACCTCCTGCCATCCTGTTAAACAGTCTCACAATTTGAAATATCTGACCATCAGTGAAAAAGAAGAGAATACCTTTTCTCCCACTTTGTAACTTGGTGGAGATGGCATCTTAATGTTTCTAATATTTACTATAGGTGCATCTTCTTCTGGAAGGGCTGGAGAAAGCTTTTTCTTGTTCTGGATTCTGTCATCTATTTCCTGAATGACTTGTTCAGCCATATTTTTTGGAAGGGGCTTTCCATGCCAGCTTTCCTTATCTTCAACACCTGTGTATTTAAAGTCACATTACAAGTAAGAGAAGTATAAAAACAATTTATGTTTTTAGCTGCAGATTTTACCCAGATGAAAGGGCAGTGGAGTATGACAGTCCAGTATTTTCTTCCAAGGAAGAAATTCCTTGAACAATTACAGTAGTATTCAACTGCATTAAGACAGACATATTTAAACAAATAGGAGGAATTTTACATGATCAAATTACATATATTCCAAACTTGTGACAAAATCCCAGCACCTTCTACTGAAATGATTTGTAAGTTTGCCCCTAACAGACCTCAGTGTGGCAGGAAGCAACCAGTAAATCAGCATTAACATTTCCCAGGAAATTTCAACAGCTCTTTAAACAAACTCAGATAAGTTTGAAACAACAGTTAACCAAGGTGTCCAATTCAAACAAGATCTGATATTTCACAGCTTTATTGTAATAGCTTCTGCTGACTCTTATCTGTGCACCCAGCACTAACAGCCAAATCACCTCTCTGGCTGATACACTTTTCCTTCAGTCACTGCAAATAATGAACTTTGCTTGCTTACTCAATGAAAAGGAATGATATTCACTGCTGTTATTAATATTTATCTGGTCAGAAAGGCAAACTCAGAGTACTGCTAAAAGCTGTGGCTAAAGGGAACCATGGCAACCCTTGACACACTGAGTGTGCATTTGCTCCATCCCATGGACAGAACACTCCATTAGCTGGCACACATCCCACTTGATAGGGCCAAACCAATTTTCTCAGCAATAATGTTGCTGACAGGCACAGAGGGTCAAAGACCTTCTGCAGCTGTTGCTCAGATGTGCAGCTACCTGTACTGCAGCTCTAGGTGTACATTGTATCTACCTGTGTATGCAAAACAAGAATTGTTTTATTACCTGATATGCCTTTGCCTTTAAAAGTCTTTGCAATGATGGCTGTTGGCTGATGTTTGGCCTGGCCAAAGGCTTTGCAAAGCTCCTCCACACTGTGTCCATCCACAATGATGGCATGCCAGCTAAGAACACAAACAGATCAACTGTTTCTAAAGGGTTTTGGCATGTGACACTCTCTGGTAGTCAGCAATAACAATAACAAATACTAACTTAATTCCAGTGCAGTGTCTTTTTAAGAGACCCAAAGTATGCCAGAAACATGAACTAGCATTTATTTGAGACCAAAAAAAATAGCACAGCTGCTTTTTTATAATGCAAAATGAGTCACAGGGGGATCAACAACTATGAGCAAAATTCACAGCCCATAGATAACCAAGTTATAATACATTTCTTCAGAAATAATGGCCATTTTTAATCACAAGAGCAAATCAGACATCTAGAAATAAGATGAAAACTGACAGTAGACGTTGATTAAAAAAACCCAAAACACTCAGGCATAATTTGCTTTCTATTGTATCTGACAGTTTTTTTAGCATGGACTTTGCATCTGCATAGAAATATGAAAGTAAATGAAAGCCAATACACAAAGAATTCTCTTACTTTCCATGCTGGTTTTTTCTGATCTACTTGCTATAATAGGACATGTGGTCACAGTTATAAAATCTGAGTTTGATGTGTTAAAAACAGTTTTAAGACCCTTGACAAGATTTATCTGTGCAAGCAGTCCTTATTTTTCCTCAAAACCAACAAATTTTGCCACTTTCAGTATTCCTGCTGCGGCCATAAAGTCAACCAATATCAGGCATGATGAAAGATCTACCCTCTTCCTTGCTGATGGAATCCTTTAGAGCTGAAAGCTCATTTGAACAATTCTGAGAAGCAAACAGAACATACATTTTCAAATGAGAGATTATCCTGAGCTTCTCCCACTCACATACCCAAAGGCCTCGCAGCGTTTCTGGTAGATTTCAACGTGATGCTGCAGAGGAGCAGGGTCACTTTGTCCAAGACGATTAATATCAAATATAGCAACAAGATTATCAAGCTTGTAAAAGCCAGCAAAGGCCATTGCCTCCCAAACAGAGCCTTCAGATAACTCTCCATCTCCAAGCAGACAGTAGACTCGATAGCTAGAAGAAATTAAAAATGAAAATAAATTAGGTTTGATTTGGGAGTGCTATTAAATCAAAACTCCTCCAATAATTCATAGTAAGAATTCACTTCATTTTTCTATCCCAAACTCAATTCCCATTGTTCAGTGCATTCACCTCAGCTAAAGTTACGTAACCTTAGACAAATCAAATTAAAATAGTTATGAGCCGTTACACATTAGAAAAATAAGATGAGAAATACTGCACTCCTTTCCAAACCTTTGTCTCACAAAAATCAAGTCCTAAGCCTCCTACTGCAAGGCTTGACTGAACAAGCCCATTGAACACTGTCACTGTGACTCAGCAAGATCCTGAACAATGCAGGGACAGTTACCTCTGCTTCCTCCTTCCTCCCATATACCCTCTGGAAGGACAACCAACAGGAATTAATTTCAGGAAACTCTAAATTGTGGATGAGCTCAGCTATGGATTAAAGCATACTGCATAACAAATTCAGAGTTCAGTAAAAAGATAACCAACATTAAATAACTTTGTAGACTATTTCTCCAACCACTGAAGCCCTTTATTTAGGTAAAACTCAGTTAGCAGGAGTACTGTCTCATCTCTACCAAATTCAGCCACAGCATTTGTCTTTTACTACCACTCTTCTTCTGGACAACAAAACTTTGTAAATATTTATTACCCACTAAAATGAAAAAAAAAAAAGGATAGTAAATTATTCTTCAAATATATAATTTTAAAACAAAATATAATTTTAAAACAAAATAATTGAGATGGCTGTCAGTGATTACTTTTTTACTCAACATGAAGCTATAAGAGACTTTTGATCTGATTCCTACCTGCCTTCAGCTAAATGTGAACTCCTTGCACTTAAGCTGCTCCCCAGTGCTGCACGCAAGACCACCTTTTCCTTTTGTCATGTAAGCACTAGTTAGATTTTTTCCACACGTAGCATCTGCTAAACTCAATTAAAATCAGCAAGTCATCTTTCACAGAAATGATTTCAAGCTAGTGAAGTGTAGGACACATTAACTGGGCAGCCTATGCTCGGATGTACTAGAACTGTCAAATAAAATATATCAACCACATCAGGCTATTTTCCTCCTCATACAGATTTGCCTTTAGACATCTTCTTTTCTTGTGCACAAAACAAATGGCAGGAGCAGTCATTTTTGTCTCTGTGGAGTTGAGTGCCTTTCTGATAACATTTTGGAGCCCTACTTTATGATTCAATTATGCTATTATTGACCATAACGGTTCCTTATCCAGCCTTCTCCATTATTTGTCATCTGACTTTGAACAGACCTCTCCAGCTTGCACTTTCCTTCTAAAGGGACACATCCAGTCTCAAAATGGATATCAGTTACTCTCTGGAAGTTAGAGGCTTCTCCAACAACTCCCTGTCTTCTCTGTTCAGGAACATCAGCTTGCAATGCTGTCAGGTCACAAAAGAAACACACATATGCACTAATTGTTGCTAATCTTTAAACCCTTGGTAGTTTCACTGGCAACAGCTTTGTAATTATCTATCATTTAAAACCTGAATTTGAAATCAGATTTGGGATTGAATAAAGGAGAATGAATCTCTCTATCATCCATCTATCTATCTATCTATCTATCTATCTATCTATCTATCTATCTATCTATCTTATTTTAACAAAATTTTCCCATTGAATGCCTATAATAATGAAGTATGAAAATGGAATTACCTGGCTCTGTCAAAGAATTTGCCAGTGTATGCCATTCCACAAGCAGCACCAAGACCCTGCCCAAGGGATCCAGTAGCCACATCAGTGAAGGCTTGTCTCTGAGAATAAAAAGATGATTATTTTGTAGTTATGAAATAGAGGAAGTAATTTCCAGTGCTAGAAGAAGGTTTAACATACACCAAAATGCAGCTTCTCAGCCCTGACAATGTGCAAGTCCCTCTAAATCTTGAACCCCTGATTTTCCTGCAATGCAATTTCCTTCATGATGACTGTCACAAGCTAACTGGGCACTCTGAGAGGGAATGGAATTTCTCAGCTATGCTTTGGATGGCAACAGTTAAGAATTGATGATTTTGTGTAAAAAGAATCAATTGAAACAACTGGCTGGGAATGGAAATACCAATGAGGTGGCCAAACTGGGTGTGAACTCTTGAAATACCTCAAAGCTGCTTAAAGGGCAAGTGAAGCCTGGATAGAACTTCACCTAAACATTTATGAAATGGAAAATACTGCCATGCAGGGCTGTAGGGAAACTTTACTACTACAATAAAGGTCATTTCTACATGCTCATTCAAATACAGTTCAAATTCAAATTCAGTTGTGAAGCCATAAATGCCATCATCCTTCTTAGAAGCCTTTATCTTTCCTGTACTGAACGGCTAGCAACCAAAATTGCTGTGAAATGCATACACTTGTTTCACAGGAAACACTTTTGTATCAAAGATTATGAGCACTCACTGGCACTGGGTGTCCTTCTAGGACAGAATCAATTTTCCTCAAGTTCAGTAATTCTGCTTCTTGTAGAAAGCCAGCCTCTGCCCAAACAGAATATAAAATTGGTGCTGCATGACCCTAGAGAGAAACAGAAATTGTAAACAAAACACAAGTTTCACAATTCCCAACTACCAGGACAAAACTCTACAAAGCTGACAAACCCTGAAATCAGGTTCTCGTGCCCATCAGGAAGGCATGGAGTTATTAAACATTTTTACAATGCACACATCCACACTGATGTTTGTTTCCAAGTTCCCCATGCCCCTGCTTACAGCACCCCAGCAAGATGAGCAGTGTTATCTCACTAGAGCTTCCTTCAATATGAGTGTACTCAGGGTTGAATGCAGGGAGTGACAACAGGCAAAGTTTTAAGCTTTGTACACTCAGACCTTTGTGGAGCAGTCATGTTCCACTCCTGAAGTCATCAGGAGTCAAAAGAGCATGCAGAGGTTTGAAGCCATTTAGCAACGCTGGACAGAAACACTGATTAATTAGAGAGAGAAAGTAAACATGAGGAAGTAACTCTCAGTGTTTCACCACCTCAGCATCAACTGCTTGCTTCTCACTCAATTCCTTCTTTCAGAGTGGCCACCAGACATGGCAACAGGTACATCCAGCACAAGGACATTCACCATGGGCTCCACAGCGCTACTGAGAGCCACCACTTGAGGAATTCTGACTCAAAGATGGAATGTGCATCACTGGAGCACTTCATCTGCCATGTTTTACATTTTCTGAAGGCCCCTCACCTGCCTTTGTGCCATATGAACAATATATCCCTGTGATTTGCAAGGACTCAATGTAAAAGGGGACAGAAACACTAACAGCCAGCACAGACTGGGGTTTCAGTGTTTTCTGACCCACAGTGGCTTCAGATGTAACGGTGACTTTAGTATGGTACTGGCACAGTTGGAGTGCAAACTACAAACTACTCACTAACCTGCCCTTTTCCATGCAATGCTCCCTGAGAAGCTGGCAGGAATTAGAGCCCACTGTGACATGGCTGCAGGCAGAACAGCAGGGCTGCATTTAACAAGAGAGCACAAAAGCCAACTGCAACTGCCTCATTAGAAAAATAAAATAGACCTTGCTGCATCCTGATAGATTGTATAGACAATATAATATTTATTATTTAACATTATAACAACTTAACATAGTGCAGTTAAGACTTATCAGGACACATTACAAAGACCCCTTTTAAACTGTTTTTAAGTTATGTTGTAACTTAATTCAGCCAGTTTCTTTCTTTCTGAAGCAGACAAATTCCAGGCTTTCAAATATTTCCAACAGACTTCTCTGCAGATGTAAGTGTATGCAAACACAAGTCAATTAAATCTACAGACAGACATCTCTTTGCTAGCAGACTGTAACAGGACAGCAAACCAGTAATTATTTATTTACCTTTGAAAGGACAAACCGGTCGTTGCTGGCGTTTCTGGGGTCTTGCACTTTGTACCTCATGGTATGGAAAAACAGCACAGACATAATCTCTGCTGCACTGCAACATGATGTAGGGTGGCTACAAGTCAAGAAGACCCAAGATTACCACTTGTGTTAGTGTTTGCTCAGGACCACGTCTTCAAAGTATCACTTCATCAGACCCCAACTCCCCAGCATGAAAATACACTAATCTGAAGTATTTGATATCCCACCCCTGTGCTGTTCCCCCAGTGCCAATCAAATATTTTGAGACAAAGGGAGCCTCTGATCTGGCGAAATGGATGTTCAATCAGGACCCTGCTGACAGCTCAAGGATTTGTTTTTTAGAGGTCTCCCTTCTTTTCCATGCCAAGGACCACCACCTGAAGGGGTGGCTGAAGCACACAGGCTGTGTCAGCCTGGGCCTGAAATCAGGCTCCACTGATTTATCTGGTGGCAGAAATTACACCAATGCAGAGGAAACAAGGGCAGCTTTCCACAGAACTGGAGCCACTAGCTGAGTGGAGAAATTAAAAGCATGGCATCAGGACTTGTTCAGGCTCTGATGCACATGCAGGGATTGGTAATGCAAGATTAACTTCTGCAGAGAGTTCTGGAACATTTATAATAGTATAACTTAGGAACCATTTCATTGTACCACATTAGAGTTGACAGAATAAGAATTCTGATTTTCAAAGAGGACATTAAATAATGCAATTCTTGTTTCATCTTCTACTGAAACCAGATATGGAAATTTACTGTCTCCAGTAAACACCCAGATACATGTTGTAAAATACTAAATTGCTTAATCTTTGGCTAAGAGGGGAACTAACATTTTCTACATTTACTTCTTTAAGTTTGAAAAACTAAAAATGTTTGGTTTATCAAACATTTTTAAGTATCTGGTGTAGTCTCTCCCATGGAATTGTCAGGGATAACAGCACATGAATTCATTCTCAAACATAACTTGCCTTAGGAATACACAGGCCCATTTCACAGGCAGCTGTGCCATAAAGTACCAAGTGAATATAAAGTTATGTGAAGAGGTTATGCACGTAGCAAATATGGAGTTATTCCTTGACAAGGTATATATTTCATTAGAAGTGCAATAGAAGGGCACAGAATTACTTTTATTTATCTAGATTACTGTAATTTTCATAATAATGATCACTGTAGTTCTTATGCACCTGGAAGGGGTGGCACCATTTGACCACTTGGGGGTTACCAGCCTTGGCTTTTCACTTGCCATAAAGCTTAAAAGGGGTAAGGAGGCTCCTTAAAAATCTTTATTGAGTATGGAAAATAGCATTTTTCAGATTTTACTGATGTAAACATAATTCTTGACATCAGCCATTGCTGCTGAAGTACAGGAGAGTGGATGATGAATAGTAAGGAGGTTGAAAAAGCAGTTTCTTCTCACTTCCTCTTCTACCCACATTTACTTTTCATCTTTAGCAGGCTATTCTTCAAATATTTGATCCTCCTTGTAAAACAGGATAAACTGACTATGAAAGTGTCACTTTTGTTTCCTACATGTACATTTACCATGCATGTTAGGATTAGACAACACTTTCAGTAGAACTTTAACCAGAATATTTTCTTTTGATAGTAATAAACCTTCCCACCCAACATCCCCAACATAACTGTAATAAGAGAATAAAAACATGCAAAACACTAGCAAAATACAAATTATGGTTAGTGTCCATCCCTTAGTAAGTACTCACACAGGGAACCAAGAGAATTAGCTTTAAACCATGGTTCAAACATATTAGTAAATATTTATGTATTTGAGTTAATCAATAAGCCTTACATGCTTGTTTAAAGCTTTCATTCCTTTAATTTTATTAACTTTATACTTAACCATACTTCTATGAACTCCTGGTCTTGATTAAAAAAGTTTTAAACCACCTAAAATGGTAGCATGTGGAAATAAAAAAAAAAAAAAGTAGAAAAATTTAATAAATTACCTGAAAATTGGAAAAACATCTTGTTAAAGCTACAGGTTAATTAAATTAATTTCTACTATCAAAAATAATAAAAAAAAACCACCTGAACTTTGAAATACAGTCCTTTGGTAGGAAACCCAACCAAAGTACACTAGAACACCAAAATCCTGGATCCACACAAAACAAGGGTAAAATAATTGCTCCAAGTTAGTTTTGTGGGGGTTTTTTATTACTGTGAATCAATTGATGTTTGTTCCATCTACATGTATCCACACATTGCAAAGGATAGCAGTGGAAAGCTAAAATGGAACACTGAGTCAAAACTAAAAAAACTGAAGAAAAAATAATCTGCAACAAGTGATCACATCAGGTATTATGAAACTTAACTGCCTCTTAAGAAACTCTTGCAACTTCCACTTTTAAGAATGTATCCATCCTGCTCTAGGAAGCCAAGACACTGTTTCAAAACTGCAGAAATTTATCATCAGCTACAGCAGACACTCTACCCATTTCAATGGGAATGTGTGCACTACTTATCTAAAAGAAAAAGCTCTTCCACACCCCAAAGCAAGTATGGTCAATCTTTACAACTAAATGAATCAAGTTTTTTGCCCACGTAAGTAATTTTGAGCACAAAATTTTTTTTCCAGTTCACTGAATTTTTCCACTCCAGCTGATGAAATACTCAAAGTGATGTGTTTGAGCAACTTCAGGATCAGACTGAGTTTGGTCTTGTCCAGGCAAAGACTGTACTTTCTTTAACAGAAGGTAAAAGAAGTGAAGACTGCAAGAACTGGTGTGACATATCTACCACACCACCATTTATGTTGCAATACATGCCACAGTTCGCAGAAATTACTTCCTTGAAAGTAGTAGGCAGGTCCTGTTTTTTCTGAATTGCTTTTATTGCAAGCATTTCCTTCAGTTTTTACAAGCTACACCTTTAACAAACATGTATTTCCTTAACAAAGTCAAAGCCATCATGACAATCCACATTTTAAACTATCTGTAAGCTTCTATTTAAACTTAACTTCCATTCAAGCATCGTTTCCCATCCTCAGTGCACACCAGCAATTTAAGCAAAGCACACTGTCTCAGTTTTTGGGAAACCTTCATAATGCACAGCTGCTTTGGAAATGTACATGCTTTACCTAACTCCACAACAGACTGAATGTCTTTTGGGTACATTACTACACCATCATCTTGGCAACCAAATCTTATTAAGAAAATATATTACTTATCAACACAATCTTCTCTCAAGAGCCCATCTTTCATAATCTGCTTGTTATCAGGTTGTGTAATAATTTCAGACTACACAACTCCAGTGGCAGAATAAACCAGAGGGATTACTGAAATGCCTTTGTGCTAGAAGGACTCAGTATTGTAGCACAGATGAACCAGGGAATAAAAAGCTTGAGCAAAACTACTTTTACTGTTTCTTCATCAGTGTGGTGAGAATGGTTTTACTGGTGAATTTCATGGGCCACGGAAGACAAACAGAGGCTGTAGTATGATCCTTATTCTTTAACAGCACATCAGACAAAATGGAGAAATAATTTTATCTGTTGATGAGACAACTGATATCACACATCCCTGTTGCCTGCTTAAAATAATTACTGGAAGCTGAACACAGAAGCCCAAGCTCTACAAAGCACAACTTTTCAATTTACACTTTCACACAGACTTGTGTAATACTGTACACTGCAGCTCTGAAACATATCAAGAACTAAAAGGGCAGTTGTTTGGTATCCCATATTTGTCTCTCCAGACTGGACCCAACTAGACAGATTTGTAAGAAAGCACTGCTCGGACTTGCTGAGAGGTTTCCCGCGTCCAACACCCCATTTCACAGGAAGAACAACAGCAGCACTTTCATTTGCTGGCTGCAAACGGAACGAGTAAAGTTCAGCTTCGAGAGCCATGTGAGGGAGCTCATGCCAGGCACAGGGTGGGGACTGTAAGGCAATTCAAAGAAGCTTTATAACATTTTGCACATCACCCTTCTTCACAGAAACCTCAGCATCCAAGGGATTCAGTCAGATTTTTTTTAAACACTGCAGCTAGTTTCAAAGAGGGCCGAAGGAGGAAATTGCAACAAGACGGGAGATGTGTAAAAAAGAAAAAAAGTCCAGCTCTTATATATGGAAGCATTCATATATTTTTCAAGCAGAAAAACATGGCTTTAATTTTACATGACTAAAAGCTGATTGTTTTGCAGAGATTTTTTTTTTCCATAGGTAAAGCACGATCAAAGAAAGGATAACCCTGGAATCTGCACACATCAGAGCCCACACTAAATCCTGTCCAGAGGCCTGAATAAACTGCCCATTGGAGACCGCGGGCATTGCACAGATAATCCCACTTGGGCTCACTTGAAATTCTGTGCAGAATTAGTTCCAACTGACGGGCACGCAATGAAAAAGAAGCCGCTTGCGCCTCGGGCACAAATTCTTTGGTTTCCAGTCCTGCCCCAACTTAGCATTCTCTCCCAGTCACAACACCCGCCGGCACCGGCGACCGGCGTGGCCCGGCCCGGGCGGGCTGTGCCCGCGGAGCCCCCGGCCGCCATTTCCGCACGTGTCTCCTGCGCATCCATCAGCGCCGGCGGTGCGGGGCTCCGGCGGGATCGGCCCTGCCCGCTGCCCATCCCCGCGCACGCCGCCCCAGCGCTCCCGCGGCCGGGCCCGCCGCATCCCCGCGCCGCGGGCGGGAAGCGGACCGCGGGACCGGGGGCTGTGTCCCCGGGGCACCGCAGCGTCTCCGGGCAGCGGGAGCCCGGCACGGTCCCTCCCAGCACCATCCCGAGGCCGGATGCATCCCGGGATGCGGGAGCGCGGCTCTGGTGTGCGGCCGGTGGGGCTGGGTCGCTGCACGCCCGCCTCCCTCACTCACCCGGAGCCGGCCGCGGTCGTGGCCTTGATGGAGCTGATGCGGAGCCGGTTGGCCGTGTCCTTCAGCGCCTGCAGCGTCTGCTGGTCGGGTTTGTGGTAATCCTCCATGTGTGCGACGCGGGAGGGCTGCGGCGGCGGCGGCGGGTCTCGGGCGGTGGCGGCTAGACCTGCTCTGAGGACGGGCTTTGCGATGCGGCGGCGCGGCTCACCGGGGCCGAGCGCTGGGGCGGAGAGAGGAGCGCGGGGGAGGGGAGAGCAGCGAGGGGGCGGAGAGAGGAGCGAGCGGCTCCCTCCCTCCATCTTCCGTCCTCCATCCTCCCACCGCCCGCGGGCGGGGCGGGCCGGGCCCGCTCTGCGCTCTGCGCTCAGCGCCCTGCGCGGGCCCCGCGGCGGCCCCGGCTCCTCCCGCGGGCGCCATTTCCGCGGCGCGCGCTGAGGGCGAGGGAGCCGCGCTCTCCGCCCGCCATCGCTCAGGGAATCCCAGCACTGGTGAGGCTGGAAGGGAGCTCTGGAGATCACCCAGTGCAACCCCCCTGCCAAGGCATGGTCACCCAGGGCAGGTGACACAGGAGCGGGTCCGGGTGGGGTTTTGGAATGTCTGCAAAGAGGAGGACTCCACGCCTTCCCTGGGTAACTGTTCCAGTGCTCTGCCCCCCTCAACATAATAAATTCTCTCATGTTGAGGTGGAATTTCGTGTGGTTTAGTTTTGGACATTGCTCCTGTCCTGTTGCTGGGCAGCACTGAAATGGGTCTGGCACCATCCTTTTGGCAACTGTCTATGAGATGTTTATATGCATTAAGGAGGTCCCCTCAGTCTTCCCCAGAATGAACAGGCCCAGCTCCCACAGTCTCTCCTCAAAAGAGACGCTCCCGATCCCTCATGTTTGTGGCCTCCACTGTTCCTCTCCAGTAGTGCCTTGTCTGTCTTGTCTGAGGAGCCCAGAACTGGATAGAGAACTCCAGGTGTGCCTCACCAGGGCCGAGTACAGGGGCAGGGTCACCTCTCTCGGCATGTTTGATTCAACCCCTGCTCTTTAAAGCTCCACCCCAGTCTGTTCCTGTGTCTAAAAGAATGTTACAGTATCCCACAGCTTAACAGTAACTTGGTTCTTCCACACAGGAGAAACAGTAGCAGACTAGCAGACTTGCCCCATGTTGCTTCCTGTCAGGATATAATTAATATTTCCATAACGTATATTAAAAAATGTGATGAACACAGAGACTTCTGCATAAAATATTGACTTCACCAGCCACCAATCAGGCAATACATTTTCTCTAGCAATTCTGAACACTATGACATTAATGCTAGACTTAAATAGGCAAGGAAAATACTTCATATTTGTTCTAGAAAGCTCAAGCAGCATTAGGAGTCACAATCTAGAAACAACAAAAAAGTAGTAGTGCTAGGCTGCAGGTTGGAATTGATAGTCTTAAAGGTATCTTCCAACCTTGATGATTCTATCATTCTAAGATACCTCAGATCTTGATCATTCAGCCTGGTATTCCTGCACTGCCCTCCTGTATTTCAGTGTTCTGTCCACTGGTATTTTGTCCTAGAAACTGTATTGTATTGATTTAAAAATATCCTAGTTACTTGTAGTGAACTAATGCTATCATCATCTGCTTCCAGAAGACACTGAAGCACTCCCATTAAAAACCCTTCACCTTCAAGGCTCTACAGTCTCTGGGTTGCAGAAACAAAGGAAGCCACCTCCATGTACAGAGCATTCAGCCATGCTCACTTGGCAAACTGCCAGTAAGGAGTAGCATGTGAAACTCTTAGCAAGGTATGATAAAACTTTTTTTTCCATAAATTAACCAATTTATTAGAAGAAATAAAAGCAGACACCACTCCCTTAGCTTAACTGTTTTCTTAAATTGCTTCATCAGTTGTCTTCTTGAAAATTCTTTTAATAAAAATCTTCAGAAGAAAAACTAGACTGGAAATAGGCCAGGAAGGATAAAACAGAGCCAAAGAACCAGACTTGACAGTAGCAAAGTGCAGAGGTTGTTCTGGGGAACACTATACAAAGGTTAACTGCTGCAACTGCCATTTGCTATGCTCCAGTCTATATTTGACCTTCAAATAATTGGGTAGGGTAGGCCTACTACCTGTGGTGGGGGTTTTTGTAGTATTTTGGTTTGGTTGTTTTGGTGGTTTTTTGGTTTATTTTTTGTTTTGTTTTGGAGGGTTTTTTGTTTTTGTTTTGTTGTTTGGTTTTTTTTTTTTCTTTCTGCAGAACCAGTTACCAAAATCTTTTCATTTCAGTAATACACTTTGAAATTATATGGACAATAAAATCGGGATAGGATAGAGCCTTATGAGAATCACACAAGCCTTGGTTTAAATTTAGGAACTCTGAAGACATGGATTGTAATGCCAAGAGGTTTCAGTGGCAGAGCAGAGGGCAAGAAATGAGGTTATTAATGCACTTTCATTGTGCAGGTTTCCTCTCAGGGTACAGAAAGACACCTTGTAACCCACTATGTTTAAACAGCAGCTTGGAAATTAAGTAACACGTGATAGCTAGAAAGTAGCTGCTTGTGCAGGAAATCACACCAAAGAGATCCTAGCTGAGGGAACAGAGACAGGGCTGCCAGACTCAGTGGGGACTATCAACAGCCATTCCTAACAGCAGTTTCCCCACATTATTCCTGTTAAAATCCACTTTGGTGCAAGATAGGGACTTTTTTTGTCCTCCTGGAGCTCTGATGCCCAAAGGAAAATTGTCAGTAGGGGAATATGAAAGATCTCAAGAGTTACAAGTAGCATCTATGAGAAATGCTGATTTTTTTTCTTCTCCTTTTGCAAATTTTAAAGTATTAAATCTACCCTAACTGTTGGTGAGGTAACAGTAAATTCAAAGTTCCCTGTACAACCTAACATATGCTACCCACCAGCAAATATCTTGCTTGGGATCTGGTTGTGCCATTGCCTCAAATCAAATTAATTACCTAAAATCAAATTAAGGTTGTAGAGTGAGGGTGACCAACTTCTCTGAGCATGTTGCACAACTTTTCCTCTTCTCCTCTTGAATCCTTTCCATGACCTGTCAGCCTTCTCAAGGCAGCAGCACACTTGATTCTGTCTGCAGCCAGGTGGTCAGAAGGTAAGAGTAAGGCAGCCACCACTGAGCCACCATTTCAAATGAAATTTCCTGATTGTTCCTTGCTCACTGTGCTCTGGCTTTCTCTCCTTAGCAGTCCCACAGCTCATGAACTGGATTCCTTTCAAATAAAGATGAAACAGAAGATTCAGTCTGAGAAAGCAGCTAATGCATCCCAGCTGTTAATGAGTATTCAGTTCAACAGGACAGACAAGAGCCAGTCTGGAGCAGAATTCAAACTCCTTTATAGTGCAGATGGGGAGTCCTCAGCACTTTGTCATGTGCTCCACTAGACCTGCTCTACTGGAATCTCCTACCTGCTGCTGTAGTCAAAGGCACAGAACCATTTTAGCAGCACAGCAGCATTTATTAACTTGAGCTCTGTACCATGCTCACTGATTGGAGAGCAGTTGTTAAAATACTGGCTGCAAGGAAGGGAATGACACTTTTTCTATCACTCCTGCTGTTTAAACACTGTTCTTTAGACAGATGTTGACATTTGGCTTGACCATCATCTCATTGCCGTGGAGTTATCCATGTCAGCTGAGTGAGGCTAGGCAGGATAATTTGGTTTTCTCTAATCTGTGGTTTAGAAGAGGTGCATAAAGTAAATTCTTCAAATGAAGCCAAGTGTAAGTGAAATCATGTTTATGATGCCAAACTCCCCAGTGTTTTGTATTGACCAAAGGTACAGTAAGAAAACATGGCTGTGCACCCAATTTCAGCTGCAGAAAACAAATTTCAAAAATCTTCATAAATACATTTGCACCAGGAAACTAAAAGCTTATTTTAGAGATATGGCTTCTTCATCTTTCTGGATGGCTGGTAATATTTACAAACACAGGAGAAAAATATCAAAATGGAAGCAGGTATCATGAAAAAAATGAAGCAATTTCTACACTAAGTTTTTGCTTCCAACAGCTTAATTTACTCTCTATTTTCTGTCTATACAATGTGATTAAGAGGTGAGCATTGCCAGGCTGTTACTGTTCTTCTCTGCATAAATCCTTGATAGTGGCAAAGTGAAATGACAGTCAACTGAAATGTGAAGTTCAGTGACTCCCCACTCCTTTGTCAATGCCCTTTGTTTTCTCTCACAGATTTTAAAAATATAAACTGGCCAGATCATTGTGGAGGGATAGAATGTAAGAAAATAAAGATAGTGCAGGAGGTAGTCTCCCACCTGAGGAGTTGCAGCTGTACAAATCACCAAAGATTAGGAACAGGCCTGCCCTTAATAGGCCACAGCTGTGTCCAATAAGAAGTTGAGTGCTACAAAAGAGTTGGAGTTAGCTGGTTGAGGAGGGATTTGGAGTTTGTTGGTTGTGCTGTGAAGAAGAAGGAGTCAGTGCTGTGAGGAGATGCCCATGAGAAATCACTGAGAAGGTATGGGAGTTTTGCAATAAGATGACAACAGATCATAGCCTTGCTTTTGCCTTTGTTGGCCCAGGCTGATTCCATTCTTTGCTGAAGAATAAGGCCTGTGGTCAAGTCTCTGTGATCACAGTGGTGATGTGTTCTTGAATTGCCTTGTATGGCTCCCTCACAAACTATCCTGAGTGTACTGGTAACAGCGATCTTAGCAAGTGCCGTCTCTGGCTGGACATATGGTGCTGTTCCTCTCCTGTAAGGAAATAAGGGGGGATGATCTGGATCAGTCTAGTATTACTACATCCCACAACTTCTTTTGTTTCTTCCATTGTTATCTGAATGGTCAAATGACTTTAAGATAGACTTAGCTTAGACAATGTCATTGGGAGATCACTGCCCACAATTCCCCCTCAGTTCCCTGAATCCTTGTGCTGCATCACCGAGTGCTTATTGTGGTATTGTGTTGTTAAAACAGCAGCTCAAGCATTCACAGGATGAAATTCCACCTTGTGTCAGTGCCTCCTCTTTGATCTACTGAAGAGGCATGTTAATTCTGCAACTCTGGCCAAGTGTGATGGACTGTAAAGCAATAGCTGCAGTCATGGTATACATTGCATACAACAGGCAACATTTCTTCCACATTCCTCAGACTTGCCTCTGGAACCACGTACAATGTGATTAAACCAAGGATGCAAATGTATGGACAAGCAGCCTTGC